TTTAGCCCTCAAAACTGCTAGCACCCGCCGTGGCATTGATTCCACAAGGTGCTGATAGGTAGTCTGAGGTATCTGGTACCAAGCACTCACCAACTGGTCCTGCAATTCCCTCACATTGCGAGGGAATAGCGTGGCAGCATGAATTTGGTTTTCCAAGTAGGACCACAAATGCTCTATTGGATTAAGATCAGGCGAATTTGGGGGTCAAGACATGACTTGAAAGTCACTGGAATGTTTCTGGAACCAATCCATGACGATTCGACCCTTATGACATGGTGCATTATCCTGTTGGTAAACACCATCTCCCACAGGAAAAACTGTTGCCATGAATGGGTGAGCCTGGTCTGCAACTATGTTCAAGTAGCTTGCAGACGTCAGGGATTGTTCTATGAGGATTATGGGTCCTAATGTGCCCCATGAAAACATTGTTCCTGGGCGAGAAACCATGAAAACCTGGGTTTCCGATAATAAGTTCGTAAGTATAAATATAAGTATATATATATATATGTATATAAATATATGCATCCAGCTCTAGATTTCGCAGTGCCTTGTTGACAACTTGTAATCTTATACTTGTTTTCGTAAAAAATTGTTGGACATTATTGTGATAGAGTAGTAAATTTCGATATTTTTTGATAGCTCACTGAAATATGAAATATTTCGTAGCCGGAAAATAGTTGAATTAGCCAAGAGTGATGACTAATGTATGTTTGGGAATTTTAGTATTTTTGATTTGACTTCATTTTTAATAGCTCCTTTTTGATTCAGAAAATTTTATTCTGAGAATTTTAGATTCAGATAATACTTTTTTTTTTTAAATTTTCATATTCTGTTCTATAGTCACAAGAGCTTAATTTCAGTTTCCAGCAGAATTAATTAAAATAAATTTCTAGAAAAAGGAAAATTTTTAAGCTATATCAGTAAAATAATAAATTAGCTAATAGGTGATAGAATTATTATTAAGTCATATTGTTAATTGAAAATAAAAATATCTGATAAATTTATTGAAGGAATTTTATCTTAAAAGTGGCATTGTGTTCAATTGTTTTCTTTTTTTTAGGGTGCCAATATAGGGCTTATTTTAGGAATTGCAATTTCAACGTGGATTGGATTTAGTGCTGTCGCTTACTCACCTCCACAAAACCCCCTACCTGTTTCTGTAAGAGGCTGCATGGCTGACAATTCATCCGAATTATTTTATTTTTCAAGCAATGCAGAACAAAGTACGAGCAATTTTAGTTCCACAGTCCCTTCCCTTATTTCCGAACATCACTCTCATCTCGAAGTGGATTATGATGGTTCTAAGTAAGTTATTTAAAATTAGGCGATCAATGCTTTAATCTGTTTTTGAAAATCGAATTTCCTTCGTATCAAGCTTACGTAACAACGTTACTTTTTCAATACATTTTTGTCTTTTTTCTTTGCATATTATTATTTTTCATCGTTTTAAGTAAATGAAAAAGAAAAGTTTTTATTGCTCCTTTAAATGTTGCTATACTCTGGAAATAGGTAAAATTGGTACTTTGAACAACATTGTACAATTTCACTAACTCCTTTACATGATCCTCAGAAAAATTCGCCATACGTTTGCCTTATAAAATGCCTCATAGGGATGTTCTTAAGACGTTTTGCTAATTTTAAAATTATGCCATTCACTTTTTCCACATGCTAATTGCAACATTTTGTCATAGACGAATTGCGAACGTTTCCCATAGGCTACAACAATGATTCTCCATAGCCCCATGGCATAGTTCTTCTACCATCTCACTAAACATAGACAGTAATAAACAAGGTACATTGTATTAAAGTGAATTTTTGGAGCTCTTTTGCAAAAATAATTATGCTGCAAGCATCGGTATAAAGCGAGAGATTAAGCAATTAAACATATGCGAAATAATTGTGAAAGAAGTCAAAGAACGCTTACAGGACAATAACCGGAAAATACAAGTATTTGCAACAAAAATTAATTAAAAACTCATTAATGTTATATAAGTAATTCAATAAATCAGTTGGAATAGACTTACATATCTATTGATTCTCTACTGTTTCTTGATCCAAAATTATTCACAACATCTAAGATTGAGCATAGTATAGAAGAGTACAAAATGTAACATTTCATGTTAGCACAATTTCCAAAACACTGTTGTAGTTCTTCTGTCACTAATTTAGCACTTTTAAGTACAGTCTTATCGTCTCGTCTTATTCACTTCAGCGTAAAAAAAATAAATCATAATCTTAAAAGTGTTGTTCATTTTTTAAAATAAAATTAATTTTTGACTCAGTAAATCATAATACATGGGTAAATTTCCAGTTGTGATGCACAGATAATTATTATTACAGTATATATTACGCATTATTATGGTAATAATCTTGTAAAATTTACTAGCTAAGGCATTAAATCATTTTATGTATTTAACATTTAAAAAATAATGGTCAGAAGTAACTATGTGGATGAGTTTATTTAATTTATTTTGCAGAGATATATTCCCGCTCTATAGAATTTCCTTCATGTGGCTGATAGCAATAGGTTTTTTCATTGCTTACGTAGTTGGATACTTTTCAAGTATTATTTTAAACTTAATTAAAGGTGAGTACTTTAAACTCAAAATTATATTTTATTTTAAAATAAAAGTTCTATATTCTTAACCCAACAAAATACAAAGATTTTTTTTACCGCAGAAAAATCCGAAAATTATTACTCTAGACTCATACTTAATATTATTAAATAATACAGAAAATTATCACTCACTGTTACTATTATGCAAGTATAGAAATCACTTTTTAAGAGTTTTGATGGATTAGCATAAATTTCTAAGAAATATTTTTCCGTTTTCCATGTTTATTTAATTATGCTTAAACGTTTGGTTAATATTATAAACATAATTAAAATATTATTTGGACATAAGATCGAGAATTAAGTCTTTATAAATTTATCCCCATTCCTTATATTAATTTCATTAAAACTTACAAATGAAAATTTTATTTTGCTCAACTCTGAGCATTTTGACAGAATTAAAAATACAAAAAAGAATTTATTTTACTAAATACTGAAATTTTTTTTACAATTTAGATAAACGTATGAAAAGTCCGTCGTTTTTAATATTTTTCATATTTTATAAAAGTAATCAGCGAAATAAAATAAAATTATTGTTACATTATCAGTTAGCTGTTTTTGTAAGGTTCAACGCTGTGCATTTAGAGAAATAAACTCAAAAATATTTTAACCATTTTAATTAGTTATTTATCTGATCTAAACGGAAGAAAATTTATTTTTAAATAACAAATTTATCAGCCATCTGTAAGTCAATTCACGTGGCTCCTCTGCTGCGTTTTGAAACGACTCCTATTAAACTTGATCAATTTTAATTGATCCCGTGAAAAATACATAAGAGGAAAATTAAAATTACTTCTAATGGAAATTGTATTCAAAAATAGTTCTTTTTATATATTTTTTCCTAACTGTGTAATAAAATTATGCTATAAAAAATAGCTGAAAGTCCTGCAGGAAGAAAACTCTATTTTTCATGGAAACAAATGTTTAGAGGAATTTACAGTTTTTTTTTCCGTTTTCTGTTTTTATCCATTATTTGCGAAATGTAAAAAATTCCCGTTTTTTTACGGACTTTCTCTGTTTGTCGGTTCAAAGCTGCATTTGTTGAAAAAACGGGGGTCATCTACAAATTGTCCAAAAACGATGGAGATATCTACATATTCTATCCGATATGTTGCTTTTGAATTTTAACTTATGAAGAATATTATAAAAAAAAAGGTAAAAATGTTCCTTTGCATGAAATATAGAAAGGCAAACTGTTGGTCGCATACTTATTCACTATTTTTAGGAGATAAAATCAAATCTTGTATGATGGATAGAATTTAAACTGAGCTCCTTTCTTTAAAAGGATTTTAATCCAATTAACAACTCAATGTAAAAATTGTAAACTGAGGGGTCATTCATCAATATTTTTTTTTTTTGAATAAAGATATTTAGCTACATTGAATAATAGTAAAACACTTTTTAAAATTTTAAACCGATTTTCAATTTTCTAAAGAATATTAAGTCTTAAAATTTGCTTTTTGTAAGAAATCATTTTAATTAAGATTTTAATAAGTAGTGGCATTTTGAAGCAACTAATATAAGAATCTTATAATTTGAAATGGATTAATTCAAAATGTTCTTGAAAAAAAAACTATTTTCTATTAGATCTGTAACTTAACTATGCATTTTTTTATTTGATATAATAATTATCTTAGTAAACTGAAAAATCTATTTTTCTCCTAATCCCTAACAGATTAAACATGTTCTAGTCTTTGCTTTGCCATTCAGTTTTGTGTACCGTTCGATAGCTTAAGCCTTTTTTAAAGATCATTCTGCAATTATTTTCTGTGCTTGCTTTTATTTTCCACCAATTATTTTATGGTTTTGGAAATGGTATGGTTATTTTGCTTAAATGTGGTAAAATAACAATAAAATAAATTGTTATATAGCCATTTTTTCCGCAAGAAACAGTGCAGTTGACTGTTTTTCTTACCGCAAATTAAACAGACTTTAAGTGTATAAATGCCTCAGTTGTTTTTTTTTTTGCAATTTTAGATTTATTTATTTCTTTACAACAGTGAACTTGGCCTGTGGCATATGGGCAATTTTGATACATAACACACATACAACACGATAGTGTTGTTGCACAAATTTATTTGTCGAAAAACGTTGAAAATCAAAAACAGAAAACTTTATTAGTGGTCATTTGATTAAGTATGTAGGTATTAATGGCCACAATAATAAAATATTTATCTCATAATAAAACCAAGTACGTCGTAACAAAACCATTTATCTTTATCTCAGAATTTTGTTGAGTGGTGTAGAGTTCCTTTAAATTGTACCAAATTGTATATAATGAGCCAAACGTGTCGATGCAAAATTTGGCACGTGTACCATAAGTTACTAATGCCTGACTAAGGATACAGAAAAATTTTCTTCGAATCCTTCATCCTAAATTACTATTTAATAGGCTATGGGAGTTTGTCATTGTAAGTTTTTACGAAAACAAAAATTTTTATACAAATGAGAAAGCAAATAAAAGCACGGATTTAGAAATTTTTATTTTGCAGGAAACTCAAGAGTTAAAGAAATGACTTCTATTTATCCATTTCCAGGAACGATGCCATTAACTTAGTACTTCATTCAAAATAGGACAGTAAACTTCTTTAAAATAATGAAATTAATACTTGGCTCATTGCTTAAAAATTATTTCAAAACAAATTTTGTTTTATATTATTGAAAAATTTAATTCAAACGAAAATGCTCTGATCATTTACAATAATTTACGGTGTATTTAAATTACGTTTTAGGTAAAACGGAACAAGTTGCTCCAGAACTTATCAGTCCTCTCGTGAAATATTTCTACTTTGAAAAGCCTCAAAAAGCAGCCCATGTATCGGACGCTATTAAGAGCAAAAATGGTAAGTTAAAATATACATTTTATTTTTACCTCATGTCAAGTGCTCGGATAGAACTGACAAAAATAAAGAGAAATAGAACTAAAGTAGTAATCCTTATGAAATTAGTTTTCTTGATACTTTTCAGTTAGCCGAGAGTATTTTTTTAATCGTCCATTTCAAGTAAATAAATAAAATATTAAAAAATAAATAAAAATCATTGAATTTGATTGCCCGCGGCTAATCAAAAAGAACCGCTTTCTTATTGGAACCGTTTTCTAGAAAAAAATCAGATGCATTAACAATATTTAAGTTGAAATTTTAAGTAACAATTTTGACCGCATCTGAGAATTTTGCTAGTTACTATTAGCAAACTACTATTTTAAGACAATTCCAAGCCAATATTATCGTATTTTACGTTTTGTAAAATAATTTTTCTTGATTAAAGATGTTTTTATCTTTATTTGTTCCACATGAAAATCCGCCTCAGACTGCTTTCGTTCAAACCATGCAACATAATCCAGCATAATAAAATGCACAATGTCAATTGTATTATTTACTAAGCAATATAGTAAAAATGCACTCCTTTTACAGACATAAGTCTGTTATAAATAATAATTTAGGTTTCAAAAAACAGCTAAAATTTCATGAAAGTAAAATTTCTTATTTCTCATTAAATAAGTACATTATTTTTACATTGAAATATGCATAATTTTTATAATTAATATGCTTAAATATGAAGGTATTTAAAAACTGGGTAATTTCTGGAGTTACGAAAGCATTTATTAATTATAATTATTTAAAGAATCTATTTCGTCGTTAATAAATGCATATGTATGGCTTCTAGGGTTACATTCTAAATGTTGGTATGCTTCAGTTAATTTTTTGTGCATTTTCAACGAAGTACTGTGATTTTTTTTATCTAAAACTGTTGATCTATTACGACGGAATCCCTCTCAGCTAGTAAGTTCGTTAGTTCCGTCGACAATAGTCATATTTTTTTGCTCAAATATATATTGTTTCTGCAAATTTTATGCATTTCAAACATATCTGAAGCGCAAGGTGCAATCAACAGCTTAATATACTTTTTTTCCAGAAAATAATTAATCGATTAAAATAATGTTTGAATTTCCTAGTTATTCAGAAGATTTTAAAAAATGAAATTTGAAAATATGGAATGTTTAAGTTTTGAAAATTAAAATTTTTGACTTAATTAAAATTATTTATGCCATTTTATATCTCAGCTGAATATTTGCTATTAAAAATAATTAAAAAATAAACGATTGAAAAATAAATGTCAAAATGTGCAATGTACCAAAAATAAATAGATTAATAAGCAACATCGTTTTAAAAAGTCGGTCTGTAGACCTTACTAATAAATAGTTATTTTTTCAAATTGCATAAATTTATAGGCTGTAACGTTCACTTTAGATAAACATTATTAAACAAGAACAGCAATTGGCATCAAATTTGTAGTTTTACAATCGCAACAAAATATGAATATGAATCAAAGTATAACTCAAAATAATAACCAAGAAATAACGGAAAATTAAGTATTTTTATAAAATAAATTTCTAAAAAACAACAACTAACGATAACATTATTTGTGCAAAATCGTATAGCCTCAAATATTGCTACAAAGTGATACTGGCAACTCAAACAAGTGGGCTACGACGAAATATTGAGAAAATAAATTTTTAAATTCAATTCTTGGATGTACCCATTTTGCTTCATTCATCAATTTAACGAATATATAATACTAATATATATTTTTAAAAACATAAATGCACTTGCAAAATGTCTAATCATTTTCAAAACGTCAATTTAATTATGTATTGGATATGATATTTGATATAAATATATAAATAATTTTACATTATGTCAAAGGAACTAGTATACTTATCCTTAAATCGAAACTTCGAATGAATTTATAAATCTGAAAATAGTATAACTTGAAATAATAATAATAAAATTTTATTGACTATTTGATTTGAACACATTTTGTAAATTAAATATAAACGCAATTAAAGTTATTTTCATAATTGGAATTAATGTAAGCTTTTTTAATATTATAAAATAACATCTATTTCATTCTAAGTAAAAATTATTATTTTTAAATTTTATTTAAAAAATTTAATAATTTTTTTTTCCAGAATTGAGCGAAATGGAGGTGATTAGACGAAATAGTAATTTCATATGAATGACTTCTATTGATGTCAGTTTCAATTGTGATTGAATTACATAAGAGTATTGCATAGAACTGTGCAAAGTGAGCGTAAGAAAAAACTGTAAAATAATTTCCTTGCATACTTTCTGCAGATGTAATTTAGAGTGTTGTATATAAAAGAATATTTTTCTTAAAATATACTTTTAAAGTTCTTGTCTAAAGAAGTAACAGAAAAGCAAACACATTTGGAAGGCAAATTAGCTTTTAAGCACCGAATATGAATGCTCTTAAACTTAATTTTTTGAATAAAACTCTTAAAATATTTATGAAAGTTTGTGATTGCGTAATACCTTGTATATAATTTTTATGTTACAAAATTTTGTAATTATTTTTTAATCTGAATAAAATGACTTAAAGTAGAAACTATTTAATTTCTTTTCTTGTATTTATTATGCACACTTCATTCTCTTTAGTGCATCTGTGACTAGCTTCTTTTCAAAGAATTAATAATACTGTAAAACCAATAAATTATAAATTTTTATTTTTAAAATTAGAGTACAAAATAAATTTTTTTATACTATTTACAGTTGTGTATTCTGAATTTTTAAAAACACATTCTTGTGAACACTTGTAAATCGTCTTTTCAAAAAATACATTGAATAAAATCATTCTATAGCTTAACTATAAAAAGAAACAATAATAAAATACACATATGATGGCAAAACATAAAAACAAATTATTTATGCATGTGTAATTTATTAATAAAATTTTATTTAACGGTTTTCTTCATTAGTCACACAAGAAAACATCATTAATTTTATTGTTACTGTCGAGATTATAGTTGACTCATTTTAGTCTTCATTGTGAGACTGGAGCACAAAGTATGTTTTTCTTTCTAATGCTTTATATACATATCCTATACCTATATCTCCTTATATGTGGAGAAAAAGTTTTGGTAAAATTGTCGTACTGTATGGTAATGACATTTCTGATATAAAAAAACTTATAATTATGGTTAATAAAGTCAAAATATATCATATTTAAACTATTTATTTGGTAATTTTTCCGTTAATATGGTAATGGTTTAACGGAAGTTTTGATTTTCAAAAGTCTAAACCATATTGCTACACAAAGAGAAATGCAAAACTGAAAAGTAAATTCGATCAAATAAATGGTTTTTATTCCTTTTTCTAAGGTATCATGATAAAATTTCCAAATTACTGCGTTTACCAAATTTTCTCACATATTATAAGACAATATTTTATTTTTCATTTTTTGAGGGTGTTCCCGTATAACCAGAACCTCCATACTTGTTTCACGGTGTAAAAAAACAGAATGGTTTTAAATGTTCTTATATAGTAGTAATTTGAACCCCTCAGCTATTAAACAAATTATAAAATACAGAAGAAGTATTTTAAACTTAAGTAAGAATATGTAAAGTTTGAAATTCCGATACACTAAAAAAATAATCTCTAAAAAGAAAAATCAGCTGTTATTTTCTATAAAAAATCTTTTTTCATGTATACTTATTAACAACGTAATAAGAAACAGACATAAATTATTTTTCTATTTTCCCAAATGTAATATTTGTAATAATGTATATACAAAATATTTAATTAAAGAAATTCTAATTCTGCAAAACTGACCAAGTCTACAGACCAGTACTCTTAAATTAAAGTGACTAGCAAAAAATGTTCTTAATTTCACATTCTAACTTTAATCACTTTTTGCTGTCATTAAATTCATAGTATTTATTTTATTTAAAAGATAAAATATAACAGCTTGAAATATTAAGTAGTATCTATATTATTCCACTAAAGCACTGCATAGAATAAAAATTTTTTTAATGCTTATGTTTTTCTTTTATAGCAAAATTATTTGCTTCTTAAAAATTTCAAAAATCTAAGACAAGATTGTTAATGAAAATTTTAAAAACATCATTTAGAATATGCATCACTGACTGTCCTAAAACCTGGTCTCCTGGTGTAAGCTAACCTGAAAAGTAAAAACAAATTTAAATATTGAAATTATATTCATTTTATGCACTTCAAGCTTTGTTTCCCTTAAATTATTTCTAAAACTTGAATTAAAACAAAAAAATTAAGAATACTCTTCGAATTTTTATTTATCGGTTTTATTTCTTAAAGTATTATAATATCTTCCTTTTTACAGTAAACAAAAATTAAAATGGCGGATAAATGTTTAGAAATGTATATAGTTTCGAACTATCAAAAAAGCCTTAATACAATTACTGAGCAATCACAAAATTAATTACACTGGATTAGGAAAATTAAATTAAAACTGTGCATACAAAGATAATAATTAATATAGAGGACACGAATGTATATAAATCGGAAATACATAGAAAAATAGATTTTAAGTAAATATTCAATCAAAGCTGTTCATTACTCTTACATTTTTTTCATGTTGAACAGCTCTATCCTTTCTTAAGAGTAGCGATTCCCAATTGGTTGTCAGCAGAACCCTCAGGTAGCATGGTAATAGAGTTAAAAGGGGTTCCGTGACTATTTTAAAATAGTTTATTATTTTAACCTTTTTGAAATTTGTAATTATACTTAAATCGAATCAATAATCTTTATATTACTTATTATTGCAAAACTATTTAAAATAAAATGCCAATGGCAGAGAAATGAATTTTTTTTAGAAAGAAAAATGTGCATAGTTATGAAAAGGTACATATAAAAAATATATGAAATATTTATAAAAAAGTGCAATTAGCACTGCGCTTTTAGATAAAAATTTAACACTGCGCTTTTCAGATCAAAATAAAATAACTAAATTCGTTGATAAATAAATATATAACCCCGTAATAACCCTTTTATACGCTTAAAGCAATTATTTTTGAACAGTAAATTCAACAGTAAATTCAATTGCGGAACATATAGCCGATTTTAAGACTATTAATGATAAAACGATGAAAACATTTCCATAATAAAGTCTGAAAGTAAAAATAGTGTTTTGATGGTTAATATATACAGAATTGTTTTCATTAATTTCGTTTTTAAAGTCAGGGTTCTGCCAGACGAAGATTTATTATTTAGTAGCCGAAAAAATTTGAAAACTGCTGCTCTAGAGTTTCTCGACGAGTTACAAACCTTGACACGCGTATGGAAAATATAGTAAAATATAATGTTTTTTGTCAGCAGTAGTAGTAGTATACAGTGTACACATACTAAGCAGTAACTTTTATTGCAGATAACATTAAAATATACCTACTGGAAAATCATTTTTGCTGTCTGCAACGGCAGAAGTTCTATCGAAATTATTTTCTTTCTCAAAGGCTTCCCTTTTGGAGAACCATGTGCGTACAGGACTTAAGTATATATCAGGAACATCGTATTTTTTCTCTAAAAAATAAATTTCTCGAATAAGAAAATAATATGTAAATTATAAGTCATAACTATCAATTAAAATTAAGAATAAATTTGAAAGTATTATATACAAAATTGAAATTACATGTTGAAAAAATGAAATCTTAATATTTTATTGTTTGCAGTTATAAAAATTTGTCATATACAATATTGAGAATTAAAATAAAGTATTAATAAAACACAGGCGATATATATTTTGTTTGCAGGTTTATCAAAGGGATTTATGAAACTGTTCATTTTTGTACTCTCCATATACAACAGAAGGTCCTTAGTTTTATAAAATATTTTTCTTAGTAGCAGAAAAGAGAAGAATTTAATATTTTAATTGATTAAAATTCAAAGAATTTTGTTCAGCACTCTATATTAATAGTTTTAATACATATGTCAGATTGAATTCTAATCATGTTCTTACGTTCTCTTAAAAGTTTCTGAAAAATTATAAATACTTTAAAACTTGCATTGAAAAATGCATTTCGTATAAAGCTTAAACGTTGAAAGGTATGTATTTAATTAAAAAAAGTTTTTTTTAAAGATTAGCACCAATGTTTTATACACTGACAGTCACTCAAATCTTAGGATATGAGAAAAAAGTTTTGAAATGGTAATCCTTTCATTAGGTTTGCGACATTAAGTTTCAGACATTTCCTTCAAAGTGAATTAAAATTAATTTTTTCATTCATTTCTTTCATTCTACTTATAATAATTTTGTAGAATTTTCTTTAAATTCAAATATTACAAAAACTTATTCATAATTCACTTAATGCTCCCAGAAGTTTAAATTTAAGAAAACTTCCAATGGAAATTACAAATAAAAATGAACAATATGAATAACTACTAAGTTAAGAATCTGTATTTAGTGTATTTGTATTTGATGCACTATGTCTGGAATAAAACGAAATGTGGTACACTGAGAAAAGTAATTGAACACAAACTACAAGTTTGTCAGTTAACAAATTATAAGAATTGGGGAGTTTAACAAGATTATCGAAGACATTAACCAACCTTTGTGAGTTTTTGATTTCTTGTTAGGTTTTTGAATTTATTTCGGCAATGGATATTGGACAATAAACAATTTTCTTATAAAACCCAATAATCAATATCCAGACTCCGAGAAGCCACAGTATCTTGGAAATCAGATGATCTCAAAAAAATTTTTAAGAAAAGACATGGTTCATGCAGATACATGCATGAGGGTTCTATCCTTTTGAAACCAATAGTATCTTTCTGAACGCACCCTCTTATCCTGGGTGCTCTTGGTGACAGAATTCAGTTAGGTATGGCACTATTCATCGTTTTTCGTGGGTTGCGTTTTATTTGGAACATACTAAATAACTTTTTTTCTACTACCCTTTAAATAATCGTTGGTCCACAACGCATATTTAAATAATCAATTTCCTTTCATACTCTTCTCACAATTACATGAATGTAGATATTTGTTATCGCCATAAATAAGTATCCTCCTGGTCTTATCAAGAAATATTCATTCATAAGTCAATCAATTCATTTAATAACATGAATATTTCAAGTTATTTCTATACAGAGCGTTAGGTGAGAAGAGTTAAAGAAAAGTGAGGAAATAAATTGAATACTTGATTTTTAAACGTACTAAATAGCATTAAAATACTTTGGAGTGCTGGTTTTCATGATATAAGATACCGTAAGTAATTAGAAAATTTTATTTCTAATTAGTTACGGAAAATTTATTTAGTTAAAATTTTATTTCCCTCCCTTTCATGAAAAACACATGTATATCGAAGAGAAACTTTTGTAAAGTAAATTTAAACAGAAGTAAAGAAACTCAATTTGAGCGTACTTTTAAAAAATGCTATTATAATACTTGCAAAATATCCTACAATCAAACAGATGAAAAATCCAATGCTAGAAATCCACATGTAAGATATAGGAATCTGCAGCGTCCTACATAAATATAAAAAAAATAATCTAAACCGGCAATATAACAATAAAATAAAAATTAGTAACGAAGTGCATTTAGAAAACTACGCATTTCTAATGTAAAGTACCAACTAATATTTTTTAATATATGTGAAGTATGCGACAATACAGCTCAACCTACAATGACTACACATCTAGTCTCTACTGTTATAAAGTCTCACGTAACATCAGCCATGAGTCTATGGCTTGGGACTTAGCTCGAAAAATTCCATTGCCAAATAGAATACCTTCTAATGTTTCTTCTTAAGCATGTTAATCTTGTAGAAAATTATGCACAGTGAAAAAATATTGTTAAAATTACAAGAATAACTTAAAACTCACCCAGTTTCTGTCGCTATGGGAATAACAATAAGCTCGATAGTTTATACCGAAGCGTCTAGGAATAGGAGTCATGGTCTTTTAATTTTATCTAGTAATTTTGAACATATTTTGAGAACCATTTATTTGATTTAATATACCTTTCAGTTTTAATTTTTTACTAAATGCATAGTAAAAAGTACTTTAATTTAGAAAACCAGAATATCCGGAACCATAACGGGCAGTTACCATATGAACACAAAAGTTATCAAATATTTAATGGTTTATATACAATATATTTTAGTTACATTTAATTAATTTTCATTATCTGAATTATGCTTTTTTTAATTTAATTTTTATTTTACGAGAAATGCTACGTACAATACGGTAATTTTACCAGATTAATTTTCTCTGTATTCATATGACAGCACATTTGAATTGTTCTCTTTTGTTTAGTATATTTCTTTTCTACATTTTTGTAGCCAATTCTTATTATTTTTATGAAAAATTCTTTTGTAATCAACTTATTTTGTCTTAGTACTTTAAAAAATGCTCATTTTCATTTAAAACTATGTTTATTTCTTCTTTTTTCAAATTATTAAGAAGATACAAAAAAACTAAAAGTCAATTATTGAAAGTCAATTTACATAATTGTTATTGAAGCATAGTTGTTTACTGATATTACGATAAGCTGAATTATAAACTAAGGTAACAGAAAAGTTATGTTGCACTGATGAAGGCTGCCCTTTGAGCATCCGAAACAGCTGTCTGCTCATAATAATATTTTTGTGCTCTTTAACGTTGTTTGCCTTAGTTTGTATTTTGGCACAAAGGTCGCCCACTTGTGTATTTAAGCTGAATTATGTATTTGAGTTCTGACAAAAAACAATAAGTATTCTTGTTTGAGATTTTATCCCACCATAACTTCTATAGAAAACCTACATTATATTGATGGATTTTAAAATGTATTACAGGAAAACGGTTAAAGTTTAATTAACAATTCTTGGAATTAACTCTTATAAGACGTAATTTTTTCTATCCTGAGTTTCTGTAATTAGTTCAGATTTTTTCGACAGGTGGGTGATGCGGGTAATAAAATTGTAAATTAATTAAAAACAACTTACTTCTTGTTTCTTTCAGATATTTCAAATATATATTTCAACATAATTTCCATTCATTATAAGGTCCCAAAAAATGCTCATATGATTTTTTTCGATATTTTTTTTTCCTTTTTAAATGTTTACTATCTGCAGAACGTACATAATCTCTCAATTAAGTTATCAATAAAAATCAGAAACTTTGGAAAAACCTTGTTTGTTTATTTCTGCTGAAAGAATTGTTGATTAAATTTAACTGTTACATTTTCTGTTACAATTTTTTTTCAAAACCGTAAGTTTAATTTAGTACTGAAAAAAAAATTAAGAAATTCATCTTTTTTTAAAACTATTTTTCGGATACTTAACTCTTCTGGAGTTTCTATTGTAGAATTCGTAGGCTGAGAAGTAGGAGCTAAACTATAAGCAGTCGTTGAATTCATTATATCAAACTCTGGGCATTCATTTGATAGTGAAAGAAGAGCTGATTTTTCTTTCCTTGGAGAGAAGCTTAAGAAGGCAGCAATAGCAAGGCTTGTAACAAATCCAATGATTGTTCCCTAACAACAAAACACAAGTTGCAACAACCTTATGAAATGTAATACAGACAAAAGTATATTTTTATAATTTAAAAAAAAGTTGTTTTTTACGAGAAAATATTCAGTTATGAAAACAGAAGTTATTGGAAATTTATAATTAAGTCTAACCCCTTGAACATTAGACATTGCTTATTCTGAAATTTCAGATGTAAGCTTCCTGAATCAACAATGGTCTTCTCTCCATGTTATTTTATTGAAAAGTAGTGCGTGCATCAGGGAAATTTCAGTACAATTTGGCCGATTGGTCACTTGAAGGATTAAATTAATTGCAAAGTTGCAAAATTCCATTTCAATGCCTTTTTTTGAACACAACAAACTTTTATTTTTATCTTTACTTGATGATGACATTCTAACTTGCTTAGAAATCTTTCTTTATTTATTAAAAAAATAATGCTACAATGATATGTTACATTCTTTTGCGTGGAGCATGTCCTTTAGACAGGAAGGTAATAAACATGATTGATTCAAAGAGACATAAAAGGAGCAGTTAAAATGTTTCCACGTTTCCTATTTACTTAAAATAAGGTTTTTAAAATAAATGAAAAATAATGAGCTGTAGTAAATTCATCTAAATGTTTGAAAACTTTTGCTAAGCGTCTCTTTAAAGAGAAAAGAAAGCGGCAAAAGATCAATGACGTGTCCCTGGTCTCTTTTTCTATGGAGTTTTAATACTGGATCATTCATAGTGAATGCCTTTAAAAGATTTCTTCTTTTTTTGTAATTTGGGTTTAAGGTTTTAACAAGTCTCAATTATATATATTGTGCGCAATAAACTTCAAACCTTTAAGGTTAAAAATCAGAAGTATTGCATGTTTTTTTTCTTATTTTATTAGAAAAAAAAAGTATATTATAGAATCATCACTTTTCATAAAAATTAACTTTTAAATCATATCTCATTTCAAAATTCTGTTGATATGTTACATTCTGCTGATTAAAAACTATCCGTATTATTTGAAAGAGTCAATTTGATTTTCTGTGTTTTGATTGAGAAATAGTATCTGGAGAATATATAAGAAACACTTATTTTAGTTTGATATTTAATATTTTATTTCATCGAATTCATGTAATTTTTTAAACATTCTTATACTTTAACTGGATTCAAAATAAAATTGAAACCGGTAGATTCAGATTAATACTTAAGTGTTGCAATACTAATTAACCCATGGCAAGTTACCTCTTTTGATCGAGAACACGTGTTTTCCAACAAAGTTTAAGAAGAGATTACGTTGTTATGTTTTTCTTCAAGGCATTTATCTTAGCGAAAAGCTTTAAAAACTTGTCTTTGAAGAACATTCCAAGTTATGAAAACGGTCATGATGGGTCTAAATCTCTTTATTGGTATGAAAGCTTTGATCTGTACATCAGACCATTCATCTCCATCATGATCATTTAATTCATTTTGGATCTCCAGCGATGTCTGATGGATTTGAACGTCTATGCTTTGGTAGGTTGAAATTTAAGGCCAACTTTTAGAACCATATCACGTACAAATGGCGAAAAAAAATTTTACGAAGCTCATTCAGCCAAACCGCTTGGATTTTCAGAGTAATTATGACATAGTAAACTCTGTTTGTACACTTGGCCGAAATATTGTTTGGTAATTTTAATCGTGTATTGTAAATCTATGATTTAACGGAAGTAAAAAAAGGAATTGGTTTTGAAAAAGTTTGATTTCGTGCTGATAAAATTTAATGTTTGAAGAAAGTAGTTGATGATTAACAATAGTTGAAAAATGTTGATGAATCATTGTAGGCAATTACCATTATGCATTCGTCCAGTTATTTTATTCTCCAGAATGTGATTACCAGATTAACTGATCAAATGAAGAATCAAATTTAAATAATAAAAATGATTCATTTTTCTAAAATTATGAAGCTTCAAATTTAAGAATAATCTTAATTTTAAATATAAAAATACATTATCAAATTATAAGTTTGAAAAATAGCCCGGAGGCTGTGGCTGCAGGGCTAAACACCACGAGACACTTCAATTCACCCAGAAATCCAAACAGGCGAGTGTCATGTTTACGTTAGCACAGTTTTCACCAAGAAAAGTTAAGGAGGCCGGGATAGCCTGGTTGATAGGGCACTGGGCTCATGTCTAAGAGTTCGTGGGTTCGATCGTCGCCGGCCGAAGACTCCCAGTGTAGTAAATGGTGACTGATGCATGATAAATTTGTTGAGTCACAAAGTCCTCCATGTTCCCATAACAAATCAATACCTCTGGGGGTACTGATACAGGAGTTTCCGTGTCTTCTTGTTTGGTTCAAAATTACAAGACTACGGAGTTGAACATTAGTAGTCGTAAACCCGAAAGCGGGTCGGCTGTTCAACGACGGATGTTAAATAATATAAAGTAAATGGAAAGGTTAAGGATTCCATGTAATGGCTATTAATTTATTAAATTGAATACTAAAGCTCTTTTCTTAGATTTATGCATTCAAATCTGTTGGCGTTGAAGAAAGCATGAGAAACAATAGTGAATTTTAATGAAATTAAAACATTAGCTATCATATAACGGTTTTCGAATTTTATGCTAATGTGAAAGGAATCTCTAAAAATAGATTTTATTCTGCAATCATTTCAAGGCTGTGGTATACAAATATTACAGATTATAATAATGCTTTTTGTTTATTGAAAAAGGAATAAATAAAAATAATAATTTTGTTTTTAAATGATTAAAATATGTTTTGCATATTTTAGTATGAAAGTATTAAAAAGACATACCTCTTCATTAGAAGCCTTTGTGCTAACTGCCAAAATAAATACTCCTAGGTTAGGTCCAGCGAACATTCCATAGATTATCGCATTCATTTTGATTAAGCTTCCAATAGATGACATTACAAAAGCAAAGCCAATGCATATGGCTCCATATAACAAACCTATATTGCAATAAATGTACAATTAAATCTACATGTGGACAACAGAAAGATTTCATAAAAAACCTATTCAACAATAAATAAACACACAAATATGTTAAATAAATTTAAATGTTGCAAATTAAAAAATCTTATCTCTATTTACATAATTCTATTGTTGAAATTAAAGTAATGGCTAGGAAAGTTTAAAAATGCTTTATTAAATTTATAAGTTAAGTTGCATTACATTCATTTAATGTATTTATCTAAGTTTTACATATTTTCGAGCATCTGGAATGCATTTGATATTTGTTAACAAACGTTTTCGATATGTTTCACAATCGAAGTAATATTTGTTACACACAGACAAACACACATGCCATAATAACACAGAAGCTCCACACTTATTTATTTACTTTCTAAGAATATTAAATCATTTTTAAAAATATTTTTGGTGATTGTTCCTAAAATTCTGAATCTCAGGAGATATGGCGTTCACCTTAGGTGAACCGGTTTCAAATCCCAGGGAAGGCTTGCCGATATGAATCCACATCCGACTTACACCAACCACAGTGCTTACGTAAAATATCTTCAGTGGTAGACGGATCAAAGGTTAAAGTCCCTTTGCCGTCAGGCTAACCGTGGAAGGCTCTCATGATCTTCCTTTCCGTGTAACGCAAATGCAGGACAGTACCATCAAAAAGTCTTCCACATTGGCAAATTTCTCCCAATACTTGATCCAGGTGTTTCTTTGTCTTCTGGATTGGTGCAAAATTACAAGTCTACTGAGTTAAACATTAGTACCCGTAACCCTAAAAATTGGATGGGTAATTCAACGACGGTTATAAAAAAATATATAAAATTGTGAAACGTAGCATGTTCTAAAATCATGTATTTTCTTTTCTATGTATTTGTAAAAGGAGTGCGGGAGGTTTCTTGAGCATTAATTTGGAGAAATGTAATGTAATTTTGTGCGAAAAGAAAACATTAAAATAATATTTTTTTAAAAAAATTGAGTTTACAATACTTAAAATGCAACGAACACAATAAAAAATTTGTGAACTTAGATATAGCAAAGATTAATGTAAAGAAAATCTCTTTTATTTTAATGAAATCAATTTTTTATGGCATTATCGAAGCGTGAATGTAAAAAGACAAATTTGAAATAAAATAGATTGGTTAAAATGTTTTAACGAAGTGATAAAATTCTTAACAAAAATACTTCATAAAAATACTTTATAAAAATATTTCAATGAATAAAATATACCTGTATACAGATTAAAGATTTGCGACAAAAATTTTTTCACTTACTGTTATGACAAAAAATATTTATCTTCTAAATCTTATGTATAAGATAATTTAACAATCAGAAATATAATTATCAGAAATATATATGCTTGTTTTCTCCAACAATATTTAATACTGAAGAAAAAATGTACATTTTGCATTACCAAATTTACATTTTACCGAATCAACACTTTACGCATATTTTTGAAATTCTCGATAGCAATGAAGTAAGAAAATTTGCTCATATGTTAATAAATAGCAAATTATAATAAAAGTATAAGGAAGCAACAAGGTTACAAAAAATCAGATGGGGGTAAAAAATAAGTCCTCAAAAACGGATTAAATTGCCATATTAATATGAGGGGGTTTCTAAGGGACACTTCTTTCTTTTTCTCAGTGTGCTTCGGCAATGACACAAGTTTTGGTTTAATTTTTTTCTCCTTTTTCAGTTTTATTCGTTAGATTTGAAAAATATTTTTTTTATCTTTTATTTAGAAAAATATGCTTTGACATTTTAATATTTATTATTATTATTTCAGTACATTATCTTTTTCAAAGTTCCTAAAAATATACATTAAGGTTGGTCATATAGAAGCACCTTTAATATTTTTGGACAATGAGCTTATAAAACATCAAAGCTGGGTTGATTACGAAACATGAGAATTTTCTTATCTCCGTTTTTCAATTAGATTGGTCTTTTTACTTCCTTTTTCAGATATTTATCAGTTTTCATAAAGTTTTTTTTTTCCAGTTAAATATTGAATTTTGCACCCAATGCTTCCTTTTATTTTGACTTAACAGATTGTAAAAATATATATTAAAAGCAGTTATTGCGGTTCACCCTATTGCTGATTTGAAAGTTTTCCATATCATTTTTATAACTTACCATAAAGAACAGTTGTGTTGTTACGAATTTGGAAAAATGCGTATAATTTCGTAAAATTTTTTTGTTATGATTTTAAATATCTCAAACGGATTCTAAATAAACAGTTTAATTGTCATTGTAATTCTAAGTATTTAGAAAGAAAATAACGCATGACGTATTTCTTTCGAAAGAGTCGGTTTGGCGATATTTTTGCTAACTTGGCGGTGATTTTGGCGATGATCTAACTTGGCGATGATCGCCAACTAATTGGTATTCCTGGAAATTTTGAGTTTTTATATGATAGGACTAATATTTATGGAGGAGGCCCGGGATAGCCTGGTCGGTAGGGCGCTGGGCCCATATCCAAGAGGTCGTGGGTTCGATCCTCGCCGGCCGAAGACTCCCCGTGTAGTAAATGGTGACTGATGCACGTTAAATCTGTCGAGTCTCAAAGTCCTCCATGTTCCCACAACAAATCAATACCTCTGGGGGTACTAATCCAGGAGTTTCCTCGTCTTCTGGATTGGTTTAAAATTACAAGGCTACGGAGTTGAACTTAAGTAATCGTAAACCCATGAAATTGGGTCGGCTGTTCAACGACGGTTGTAAAATAAAATATTTATGGAGTTATATGAGAATTTTCTTGAACCGTGTCGAAGGTTCCGGGGTTTCCTTGCCAAATCTTTGTGAGTAGGAGTTTGTCCCGCAGGGTAAAGTAGTAGAGAGTATTAATCTGCTTGTGACTGTAATAGTGTTCTGCTTTGTGAATTTCTAATTAATTCATTGAAGCGTCTGAGGTTTCAAAGCTTCTGATCCGTTGTGAACTAAACTGTTATTTGAGCTGTAATTGAGCGCTAGAAATAGCTGTATTTTCTGTAAGAGACTGCTAAAAAATTTTTACAGCTCTAAAGGCTGTCTTATTTATCTCCAACCGAAACGGACCCCTGTGCTCTCATCTCCTACTGTCTCATTTCATAATTTCTCAGTTTCTCTGTAAATGCTATACTTACTCAGTACTTAAACTCACAGATAATTTTTGTTATCAAAACTTCGTGAGAGATATTTGGCCTCATGGGACGGATAAAATCTTCAACTGTTACAGCAGCTAACGAATTCAAAATAGATGAAATGGTACTTAAGGATGCGCTGAAAATTCCTGCTATGCACAATCCTGGCAACGCTGGATAAGCCTGCATTGTTCTCGTTATAAAATATGGCATTATCTAAAACAAGCAAAAAATATCTAACTACCACAGATGTGATTAATATCTTTCAGTAATTTTTATTCGAAGGAATTTATGTAAATTAAAAGTATGCTAATAAAAATTATTCTATATAAAAAGTATGTAAACTAAGAATATTCTATTGTTTTACTAATTCCCCAATTATTTTCGAGCTTCTTTTTCTCTACATGAATTTTAAAATATAAGGATTCGATAAAAATTTACGAAGCGAATTACAAGTGTTTTTGAAAATTTGATTGAATTTCAAATACTTAAAATTTCATAGGCAATATATATTTACGCTCGGGAAATGTTTGTGTTTTTTGCAACTAAAAATATTCTATTGTCTTATCAATTCTCCAATTATTTTCGTGCTTCTATTTCTCTACATGAATTTCAAAATATAAGGATTCGATAAAAATTTACAAAGGGAATTGGAAATATTTTTGAAAATATGAAAGAATTTCAAAGATTTAAATTTTCATAGGCACTATATATTTACACACTAAAAATTTTTGTGTTTTCTGTCATGTTAAAGTTTTATAAGAACGTGAACGCATGACATTTAGATTTAATTAACAAGCATTTATTTGGTATAATTAAATGTGTTTAGAAGAATAAAAATTCGAAGCCCAGATGAATATTTGGTTATCACGATATATTATCAGGGCCTGTCCGAGATGTAAGCCTGATAAGTGGTTGCGTAGGGCTCCCAGTAAAGGAGGCTCCGGTGCGTGGTAAGGCTAGGTTAAAAGAAAAAGAAACTTTATGCGATGTTATTTTCCCCTTTTTTTATTTTATTTTTGAGCGAAATATTTGAAGAAGGCATTTTGAACATCATCCATATTTAAACATTTTTCAAAACACAAAATTTTTTATAGCGATCTGTATATGGAAATCTGACAGTGTAATGTCGGGTTATTATGATAAGAGACTGAAGTACTGCTTCCTTTAATCATCCAATTTTACACTATAATTCAAAACCACACTGTGCAAAACAATCCCCGAAAATAATATTATGAGTCGGGGGGGGGTCTCCAATTACCCTCCAGATTTGCCCGACATTACACCATCAGATTTTCATATATTCTGATCACTACATTATTTTCTGAGTGACAAAAATTTTTTTAATATGAATGATATTTGAAATGCCTTTTTCAGATGTTTTGCCCCTTCCCCCAACCAAAAAATGGTTTTTAAGAATCCGGCATTTACATTTTCAACACTTAGATGGCAAAATATATCTGACATTAAAATTACTACCACTTTTAAATTTTCCAGGTGCGTAAGGGCCCTGTGTAGATTTTGATTTATTTTTAAAATCGTAAATAAGATTTATTTAACTCCGCTCATATTTATTATTATCCTTAATGGAGGAGGGCGTCAAAAATATTTTTGCTTGCACTTAAAAATCAGCTCGGACCAGCCCTGGATATTATAGGCTTGCGAAATCTACAGATGAATTGACCTATAGCAAACAATTCTAGTGAACAAGAGTAGCAAGAGTGTATTGCATTCGATTCGTGGTGTATGATATTATGCTTGTTTTAAATCGAGTTCGAAATTTAGGTGAAAATGCCTGAACTATAGTTCTGCATCACATAGTACATGTTATTAAAATATATGTGAAAATAAGAGCTATTTTTAAAAATTCCATTAAGGTAGAAAAAAATAATATTTAAAAGAGAAAAACAAAATTCGCACACTTAGACCGATACTTATCAATATTGACCAAATCAAAATAGGAATTAAATTCAGTTAATAGTCAGTAATCAGTCTCATGTGATAGATTTTGAAATTAATCAGTCAAATTTAACATCGATTTTGTTTTTTCTCAATTAAATATTCAATTGCGAATTTTCTAGGGGGTATCTGTAGATTGTTGTTCATAACAATTAAGAAAATGTATATTAATGGTGATTATTACTTGAGCATGGTACTAATACTACTTTTAATAGTAAATGCGACTTTTATTAGGTATTTTACTTACAACATTTTATTAAGTAAGGAAATATATCTTACTTGATCGGCAGCTTGTATAGGCTTGTTTGGCGCTGTTAGTGGATCACAATGGCGAAAATAAGCATAGAAAATTATTCCCGTTAGACAGCAAAGCACATGTAAAGCAACGATGAGTGGTATACTCCAAAATATTGTTCTGAAATATAACCCAAGTTGAACTTGGTAAGAGTTAATTTAACAACACTAAATGTTCCAAATCTATTATATTCTAAATTAATGGAATACGCTTATAGAAGCAGCTGTTTTTCATAACTGAAGGTCGGAAACCTTTTATTTTAATTCTCGGAGCTTTTTTGCATGCGGAGAATTTTTACACAGCTCCACGTAGGTAAAAATACAACTTTTTATATAGTTTTAACAGGAGCTTCAAAAATGCGTGTTAAGGGTGGTGATTACAAAGCATTTTGTAGTTTATACAGAAAATCATTCTTAAGTACTGTACACCAGTCTTTCAAAATAAATAATAAAATTAAAATAGCTCCTGTATAGGATACCCATGCATTTGCCTACGCTGTAAGTAACTACTATTTTCCATCTAAAATTTGAACTTATATGGTTCATGTCGTTTAAATATACGCTTAAATAGCATAGGAAGTTAGCTAAAAAACTCACAAAATCTGAACATCCAAAATAAAGTTGAAATCTACAAAAAACTGTTATGTACTTCTCGTGTTGTATTTTGGTAAGAGTGCGAAATGGAGGGGGAAATTTGCATACTGCTATTTAGATAGTTACACCTTAAGTATAGAGGGATAATACACATATTGTACAATTCGACTAATAGCTCATAAGTAATGAGGGCTGTTTGAACAAGAAGTACAATTTTGTAATTATACCTATTTACACATCTGACATGGCTATCTAAAAAAATGCGGTATCATTTTCGTCACATTTTTTCATGCAAAATCGATTGAAAATAAACCTGGGACAATAGGGCAAACAGTTCAAAAATTGAGAATGCTTTTACTCAAAAAAATATTGCTTTTAGCACGAACAGATATACACTTTATATTGCTATCTAGCAGCTATGTGCACATTTAAAATATGTTTTCTGATGTAAGTTATCATGTGGAATCGAATGAGATGAAATTTCAAACGATAGGATAAATAGTTTAGAAATTAAAATGGTTTTCATCACACCATGTAAAATTACTAAACAGTAGGGGAGAGTGGGGTCAATTGTAACAGGGTACGATTGTAACAGAGCAAAAATTTCGAGTGTCGGGTTCTAGATTTGGCTCCTAGGTGGTGCACAAAGTGTATTTAATAAATCTACATGTACACCCCTGATGGCAACCATTTTTATGTACTTTTGAAAGAGTTGCATCACAAAAGATATTTTCACGCCACGCAAGTACTTTTTTTGGTATTAGAATATTATATTGTAACAAAGTAATTTTGTTTAAACAAATAAAAATTAGTAACCGAATATGTAAGTGGACACTTTAATTAACATTTCAATAAAAAAAAGATTAGTTTTGCTAATTAACTAGCATTGTTTTTAACAAATGAACCTGAAATGGCGTCTTGGGGACAATTGTAACAATAAGTAAAGGGACGATTGTAACAGCTGAAAATAAATAATCTTATGTTTACAAACCATTACTTAACTCTTTAAAAACCACCAATAGTTTCCTATATCATTTATATTATGTTGCATGCGCATTATTTTATTTGTCACCTTTCACAGCATAAATTAAAAATTTTAACCCCTTAAAGTTAAAAGTTTAACCCTTTAGGTTTCTGCTCATTATTATTTTTACTCCGAAAATATCACTACTATTTTGATCAATAAAAAATATATCACAACTATGATATTATGTATAATTAACTATGTTTTAGTTGAATTTATGAACTGTTACAATTGACCCCGTAAGTGGGGACAATTGTAACAACTGCACGACTGTCAAAAATTGTTAATAACTAATATAATAATATTTAAAATCAGGTATTTATTTTTTTTTCTAGTAGAGGATAGTCTACTTAACTCGTCTGTCAATTAATACTAATAATATATTGGATTTTTTGTTAGTTAAAAATAGTTAAGTAAAAAATGTTACAATTGACCCCACTCTCCCCTACTTTCTCTACAGTAAAACCATTGCAGCTTTGGAAAAATTAGTGCTATTGATTCACTTTAGGTCAAATTCAATTTAGGAAAACGCAATACATGAGAAACTATAAGTCACTCTTGTCTATATAACTTTTTACCAAGCGTAAACAGTTGCAAGTACAAAACTATGCTTTGTGTACCTAAAAATTTTATAACTTCAGCAGATTTAATCTAATTGTCTCGTGTTTGATTTGATTTCATTCAATATAGAACATTAAATTAGCAAAAAATGTTTAATTTGTTGGGATAATCACTAGATAGTTATCCAAAAAATGTACATAAAGCATGTCAACAGAAGCACTTTTTTTTTTACATTGAAACATTTGCAGCTTTTCAATTATTAATCCTTATTGTACCGGATTAGGAACTAATTCAATATGAAATAATGTGTAGGAAACAATTTGTTTCGATAGCGATAGCAATGTTAGAGGAGTAAGTAGGTGCTAAAATAGATAAAAACAGGTTGGAAGTTTTAATTTTGGATTTCAGGTTTTGAGCTACCTCTTTTTCTTTATAAAAAAAAGTAGTGTTCTCATTTTTTAGAAAATATATTTCAGAATTTTTGATAAAAAAACGTAAAAAAAAATTGTAATCTTACTTTCGTGATTCACTTAAAGACTTCAAAGTGAGCATTCTTTGAACTTGTACTTGACTTCCTCCATATGACGATATTGTGACTATCATTCCAAGCAGAAAAATGTTTATCATAGTGTACTGAGATGCCATGTCCATCGAAAACCTGTTTAAGTGAACAGGTATTATTATAAGTAATTTTATTCCACAATTTCTTTCTGAACATAAAGTTTAAAGTTGATGCCTAAGTTATTGTTTAAAGCAAACTTTTAAATTTTTTTTTTTTTTTTACATTTTCTAGTTTTTTAAGAATACATTTTAGAAAATGATTGTTTAATCATGTTCGTGCATGATTTGTAAAATAAATTTTAAATATCTAATGGTTTTTCTTAGAGTTAGTTAATTTAAGCACATAGAATTGAGCACTTAACGTTTTTGATTTTGATGACATTTCCAGGATATGTTCTTGATGTAAAAGTATTAGATACGTGTTTTTTTATTAATATTATTTCGAAAAAAAAATTTCTTATGATTTTGGGGGTCATCTAGAAGATTCCCTAGAATTTTGAAAAGAATACTTTCTGGGAAATTAATGAACCACGGCACTCACCATTATTTATTTTACACTGTTTTCAAGGTAATTATTAAGATATACATATTTTCAGTGAACCATTGTGGTGAAGGTCAAATGTAATTCAAAATCTTAAAAATAATACTTAAGAATCTTTGAGTTTGACCGAAAAAATCTAATTGAACCACAAAAGTATACATTTCTGTGAATACATACTAATCAGTAGTACCTAAAAAAATCAACTTATGGTTAATGTACAGTTCAAAAAAATAATAATAAATAAATAAACGGGCCATCCTGAATAACTTTTTATCTAATGACCGGATCTTCATGCTCTGTGCCTTAATCTTAACGGTTCAAAGGGGGGAATCCAAATATGATAAATAATTAGGGCAGACGATATTTTAAGTTACGAAATTATATACAAAAACATACTTTCTCTGAATGAACATACCATTTCACTGAATAAACTTACCTTTGACGGATTCGGGTTTTTGACCCACAAAATATAGAAGATTGCCTCAATCTGGGAAATATTGTCCCTAAGTTTATTCAGGAGAGTGATCCCAAGTTTGAAACCCTTAATGTTAATTTTATTTCCTGCATATTTTATCAAGTCTGAAGAGTTCTTTAAGCTATTTAAAAAAAAATTGCAAATATTTATAAAAATTGTTTATCCAAAAAAAGTTCACGCAAAAAATTACTTTCAGTAAGTATTTATTATTTTTTAGTATGTTATTTAATGAAAAATATTCGAAAAAAATTTGAAATGTAACGTATAATTTTGTTTACATCATTTTAAAGAGTCTAATTTTAGATGACAGAGTACGAATAATTCCTAAGAAATCAAAGTTTAAAATTACCACATTTTTGAAAGTAAATTTCTCAGGAACTATTCCGCTGATTTCGTTCAGATTTTGTACTTTGCCATATGAAATTAAATTTTTTGAAGTTGGTTAGACATATTTTTCTCAGAATTGAACTTCCTTGCAACAAGAAAATAATATGCTTCATAGACTTACTTCGGTAAAAGAATTCGGCCTCCGTCGTATGCTTCTTTAAAAACATTTTCAAGACCATCAAGATCAATAGTTCCTTTTATAATTATTGCGAACAAACAAATGAACATAAGAACAGCTTGAAACGAATCCGTCCACAACACAGCTTTCATACCACCCTAGTTAAAAAAATTTAATTTCAATATGGTTTATTGCTAAGCTAATAACTACTAAAAAAATTCTGCTTAAAATTCTGCTGAAAAAATTTTCAATTCTGCTTACTATTTAAGTGTTGAGTTTTGCAAATTATTTAACTCATAAATTTAATGAAGAAGAAATTGATGTTTTTTCTGTCATTGGTGTTTTTTTTAATAAAAAGGATAATAATAATAGTATTAATAATAGTAATAATTTCAACGGTAATAATAATTATAATAATAGTAATAATATTAATGGTAATAATAATATTTGTAATAATAATATAATTATAAATATCTGCGTATCGTTCAACTACAGTTACAGAACTCAAAGCGGTCTGACTAAATACTAAAAATAAGAGCTTTGAAAGATTTCTTTTTCTCCATTTTTTCCCCTAAGAAAATTTGCATTAGGTTTTCCATAAAAAATACTATAGTATATTCCTATGGGTTTTGACTATGGAAAAGTTTTGCCATACACTATTGCCATCAGCGAATGGTAAAATTTGGCCATAATCTTATGACAAATGTTTGACATAAACGTATGGCAAATATTTGCTATACGTGTATGAGAAAAGTGTTTGGAAAAAATTTTACTATATGTAAAAACGCCCTGGGATATCCTATGGAATTTTTATAGCAAATTTTTACCATAAAATTACGGCGTGCTGTAACTTTTGATTAAGGTTTTCAAAGCCTATGGTAACATTTCTTCACAGCCATATAGAAGTTAATCATACTATTTTACATAGATAAATTTATACTTAGACAATAATAAACACGGGTCATTGAATTGCAGTGAGCTTTGGGTACTTTTCACAAGAATGGTTATGCTACAAGAATAATTATAAAAAGAGAAATTAAGGTGAGAGATTAGGTTAATAAAAATATGAAAAAAGACAATAATTATGTAAGAAAGCGAAGAACCCTTACCGGACAATAACAGGTTAATTTAAATCGAAAAAATTAATTCGAAAACAATAAAGGTATTATGAGTAACGAAAGAAGAATAAAATGGAATGGATTTACAGATTTATGGGTTCATTAATCCAAAATCAATCAAAGCATCAGAGATCAAATACAATATCCCTGAAAGGCACAGAATCTAACATTTGATGTTAACGAAATTCACACAACGTTATTGTAGCCGTGAGAGCTAATTTTTTTCTAGATTATCAAGTTGTTCATAAAATAGACTAAGCTCAAAAATTTACTAAAACATTGCTGAAACCAGTAGGATATTGATTAATTTCAACAAGTTCAAAAATTGATTAAGTCAGAAATTCGAAGGAAAAAAAATAAAATAACTAACCCCAAAAGTTAAATAACATAAATAAATAAATAAATAAAAAACTTTAAAGTCTCTTTGACCGAATTCGTCGAGGTATCAGTGTCACGCTCAGGGCTTGTTGTCAATTTGTCTGCCATTGAAATTTTTGAAGTTGAAAGGCTGTTTTTTCATTGAAATTATCAAACATAATTTTAAATAACTATAAATTTCAATAAGATTGGCGAACATTATTGAAAAGTACTATTGTTTTTGATGGATTGGTTTAATTAACGCAAAATTGATCTGGTTCGTCAGAGAAGCAGTAAAACACGCCTGCTTCTTTCCGAACCATGGTCCACTCTCCCGTATAAATGAAGCATGCGTGTAGTGTGTTTCCGTTAATTTGCCATGTGCCTATGGTACTTCCTATTAATCCTCCAATGAGGCTGCTGTGTACCTCCATATAATACTATAGTAGTTTCTATGGTTATAATAGGCTTATGGTGTCTTGCCATATGAATACTATGCAAATTTCTATGGTAATCATAGGCGTATCATGTCTTACCATATAAATGCCTTGCAAATTTCTATGGTTACCATGGGCTTAAGGTATCTGACCATATTAATTTCTATAGTTGACGTAAGTTACCATAGATTACTAGGGGCTTGTCTATGGCAAGTTTTCCAGAGGTTTATCAAACTTCCTTTAAATGATTTTCGCCAATGTAATCGTAATTCAACATTTTGCACAACGTGTGTGTTATATAAAACATAACTTGATCCTTGAGTTATCTTTCTAATGAATACTTTACAGGGAATCGTAAAAAATACTTTTAAAAACTGTAAATATTATAGTCATGATTTATGGGGACTTATTCTGTGAACATATCCGAAATATATCATTGGAAAAATAAAATAATACAATCATTATTTTTTTTTTTTTTACATTTATCATCTTTTGGCGAAACCCCATGACTTAAATTTACAAATAAAATTATTTAATGACTGAAGTTTTATTAATTATTTTGAAAATATTTAATGAAGAAATATAAATTGAAATTTTTCATGGTATCGTTTTATCTATTATGTAAGACAGTTATATTTACAGGTCTGGAGCTGCATATAGTCATTTAATTTGAATTTTAGTGTACGTATAAACTGAATATACATGTAGGGGAGAGTCGGGTAGCCCCGCCCACTTAAGGAGTTGTGCTTATATTTCTGAATAATATTGAGTAATAATCAATATTTTTGTATGTTTCTATTGTTTTATCATCTAATTAAATAATGCAAAAAGAATAAATCAAAAAAAGAATAGTTTAACTTAAAAAAATAGAAATTTAAAAAATTTGACTACTGTATTCAACATATTTTCAAAACTATTGTTTACCATGTTACCAGCTGCATAAAAACTTGAAACTTTGAAAATAATCTTTTTTTAATAAAACAATTAATGTCCGATGGCCCATTGACTTGAAAAAATATTCTATACATATGAAATTGACAGTGGGCGGGGGTACCCGACACTCCCCTACTGAAACTTAGTTGTCACTGAAATTAAGACATAAAATGACCGAAATAAACGTTGAGAATGGTTATTAGAGAGAGATATTTCTTCATTGCTGAATTTGATTAGTTTTTTTTCTTTTCAAAATATTAATGCAATTTTTCATAAACTTATTCTTTTCATTGCTCATTCATTATCCATTATTGTTATTAGAAATTTTTTTAATTTTGGTTTACTTTCCTTACAAACATATTAAATACATAATTTCATAAAAATAACTAAATTTTAAATAAATAATGGGTAATTAATCAAATATATATTTAATTGCAGGTTTCGAAAATCGTATCTGGTAAAAAAAATCTCTAAGCCCCTGTAACTCTTCTACGGAACTCTAGGGTTCCACATAACCCTGCTTTAAATAATCCCCTTAATCGCTTCGGGAACCCCTGCTCTAAATAACCCCCAGTGTTCAAAAATCTCAAATAGCTAATAAAATTAGAAGCATGATATTTTAAACACTCAATAATGTTCTTAACTCGAAATATTTATAAGTAAACTATATTTTGAAAGTCAAACATGTACAGGTTAAAAAAATAAGTTTTTTTCTTCAAAGTACATTATAAATGTGAGCAAACTTTTTTTTATTTGAACAAAAATAAAGTTACTTTTAAAAGCAAATAAAAAAATTTCTTACCAAAGTGCAGTAAAAAGTGCAGACTACTCCAATAGTAATAATAGACACCCATAGAGAAATGTCCGTAACAGCGTTCAAAGCTAAAGCTGGTGCGTATAGGGTGGCAGAATTGAATAAAATCTGTTTAAATATAATAATTAAATACGTTTGCAAAATAATATAACTCAAAATTAATATTTATTAATATGTAAATTTCATAAGTTATCAGTTTAAATTATTAGAGATCATTTTTAAATTGTAATCTTGCAAGCAAATACGTTAGGACAATCCGATGGCAACTAATGACATGACATGACGCCTTTTAAAAAATTAATTTTGTTATTTGCTAAAATACTTCTAATTATGTTCTTTATTGTTCTGTATGAACAGAAACTCAGTATTTAAATAAATTAAACTTCTTTAATTGTATTATAATTTCCTAATATCTAATTTTTCATTGTATTATCAGCACATCAGTGCTTTTAAAAATACTCTTCACCACTTTTAACTAATTTCACCAATACGAATCAAAATAAATAAATTTGCATTTAGGTATTTTAATATTATGGTATCATTAAAATGTCCGTTTGTGGTGATAGATCAAATTTTCTACTTTTATAGAAAGAAGAAACGTGTTTACTTTCAGATCTGAAATTTTGCATTATGAGAAATACGAATCACTAGGTTAGTTTGTGGATGGTCGCTTGAGCATTTTACTCCAAAAAATTTTTTCAGTTAATAAAATTATTGATTAAAGAACCTCAATCATTTTGGTATCGACAGTTTTGCCAATTAAGCGTAGTTCTATGATGAACAGAAGCATCAGTTTTTTTCAACTGCAGTAGTACTGAAAATAGTCAAAGTACTGCCACCTAGTAAGTCAGATGTAAGGTCCGTAAATTTCGTCAAATTGTGTTTCCTTTCACGCTTCGTCTTACCGATTACTTATAAACCTTATCTCCCACTATATTAAATTAATATACAACAATTCATAAATTACGTTCATGCTGATGAAATTTCAAATTTTATTTTTAAACTTTAACAATGTACTTTGGTGATAAAAATTTTATTGGCGTGTTTTAAGGAATATATCGAAACAATATGAAACCAAAATGAGCACAAGACAATATCGCAGGAAGTAAATAGCATTTTTATCTCTTCTTTTTAATTAACGTAAGATTAAAAAACATATTAATAAAAATGAATTATATAAAATTATTCAGTCTGTTTTTATTATATAATAAATTGTTAAATGAAATTTTATAAAATTATTCAAATTATTCAATTATAGCCAAATATGTGATGAACCGTGTTTTTCGCTCCTCCTTTGTCACAAGCTTACACTATTTAATTACTTATCCATCACGTCAAACCAGACATTATTTGAGGAAATGGGAAATATTAGCGCCATCTAGTGAGTTAGAATAACTGACAAATTATTTAATTGTCTAGTAAGTCAATGGGCATGGAAATACACGTTGTGCCCTCGCCAATCACATGTATTTAGTAACAATCGAGCAAAATATAATTCTGTAATATCTGATATCGTAGGGTGGGTGATTCTTTGGAAACATGGCGATTCGGACCAAAACATTTCTTCAAATTTAAAGTCTTCAAAATAATCTAATTTTTGTGTATACTTATTTAGTTACATGTATTAATATCTTATCAGTGTAGTTTATTGACATTTTCTCAAGAAAAAAAATAATAAAATAGAAATTCACCAAATCTTGAATGACAGGAAAATGACATATTAGCCTAGAAGTTTCAAAAACAGTCATTTTAAGCTAATAGTAAGAACTCAACTTAAGCCTTTATGTTAGATGGACCATAAATTGCTTATGTTAATTCTTTTTATCCACTGTAAAGAGAATCAAAAATGTTTTTGTTGCTGATATGTATAGAATAAAAATGTGTACAATAATCAATCATTAAATAAAAAAATACCTTTGATTACATTCAAGCATATTACAATCATACATAAACTTGGTATTAGGCTAATATTTGCTTTCCCTCTTTACAGTATACTGTTTAAAAAAAATTCTGGTAACACTTGAATGTCCTGGCATTTATAAGCCAGGAAAATGACAGCCAAGATAATGACAAATTTGCTATTTTATAGCATTTAACTTTACTTTAATTTAACATTTTGGCCTAACACATTTTGGCCTACATTCCGCAGAATACAACACGATTTCTTGACATAACTGAGATAAATCTATGTAGTTTATGTTATTAATGATTTCAAGAAGACAGGAAAATGACAACATAAATACCTACTCACCTTGAAAAAATTTTTGAAATAGATTTTGAATCAGAAAGTTGGTTCTTTATTCATTCGACAAGACATGTTCAGATAGGAAACATCTAATCAATCTATTAACATAAGATATTGATTGTTGGCGCTATCTACTTCGGTTATAAATCAATAAATAAAAGTAGCCAGGAAAGTGACAGATTTTCATGTGACAAACAAATTATGGACAGAAAAAATTAGTTTAAACGCAGTTTTTGTAAATAATACCATCTGCGTATATTCTAGAAATGCTTACAACGGTTGAGACAAAAAAAATTAGATATTAAAAAATTCATGTGAAGTTTGGAAGCTAATTATTATTGGAAATATTGTTAATAACATACCAGAAACATGACATTTTAAAATTCAATTAAATTTTATCAATATACAAAACAGTCGATGCTAGTACAAAGTCATTTTAAAATGCTAACAGCAATGCTATTTATTAAAATTTTAAAAAAAGTTCTTTTAGTAGTATAGTATTAGATCTTGGAGCAAGAAACTGTAAATTGTCATATTTCGTGAGAATCACCCAGCTACCATTAATGGGGCTATGCGTAAGAAAAATTATTTTAATCTTGATAATAAGCTTCATTCTGCCACATAAAGGTGCAATAATTCATAAAAAAGATACAATTTTCTTTTCCTACTGTTTTTAAGTTTAAATTTTGGAATTGATTCATATTCTCATAATTTTTTATTCATATTCTGCAACCACTCCATTAGACATAAAATGCTCACAGTTATAGAAGAAGCTGTTTTCTGTGTGGAGTTCTAAATTACATAGCTTATCTCTAAAAACCACAATAAATGTACAATTTCCAAAAATCAATTAAAATTTTAATTGAACTTTATGAGCAATTTGGTCAGTCAGAGAAACATTTTTAGTTCTTATAACTACAAAAAGACGTTCTTACGTTTACTACCATGAAAGCTGCTGATAATATTCTTCTTAATACTTTCCCAAATCTCTTCTCCAAGTACTGAAATAGGATTGAAATGAAAAAAAAACGAAATGACAAAACATAACACAAATTATGTTAGAGAAAAATTACTTGTTGGGAATGAAATTTTTTTCACAAAATTGTGTTAATATTTGGTAAATATCAGATATAAATCACAGTATTGAAAATATCGAATGTTATTTGAAGTTATGAATGGCGTTTCACTGAAGTACTTTGGTATAAAATAGATACCATAATTTTTCACAGTGTAAAGAACAAAGTTTTAGCTCGAAAAAGTAAAATTTTGTGTATATTATACATTTTCATTGCGTATATTACACATCGTTATATTGTAAATTTTTTTTAAAAAAAAACTGATGATTTTTGTTTGTTAATTATTGTAAATGAAGAAAAATCATACAGTTTTTTGGCAAAAAATAATCAGTTTTCTCCGTTCATTTCTATTATTTCTCAATTGGGCAAAGCACAAAATTGGATGGCTTACAATTTAAGCTTTGCCCGCTTCAATCACAGAAAAAGCTGTTGATCCCTTTGAATCTTTGCATGCATAAGATATAGTTTTAAATTAACAGTTAGATTATTTTTATTCCCAAACTGGAAATATGTACAGAAACACTATTCAATTTACCATAACACATTTACCATTATTCAATTTACCACAATTTCACAAAACCACATTTTCGTATAATGTTTTGATAAAGTTTCATACCTTGCACTATAATCTGGTCGAATAACCCTTGCAATAATTTTAGGCGTTTTTGAGATTTATTTGAGATTTTAGGTGGTAAGGTTGATTTGAGGTTTATTTGAAGTTAACTTCAAAAACAACCTTAAAAATTCACCCTCTCAAGGATTATAATCAAGGTGTATGCAATTGTTTTTTTAAGGCTGTTTGGAGGTAAATAGTATATATTATTTTTTCTACACTTCAACCACATAATTGCGGTATGAACATTTTCACGTGGTATTAACTAAAATTATTGATGAACAATATATGATGTTGATTTTGTAATGTGCTGCTAAAATTGAAATTAAGATTAATAGAGGAGGTTATTTTCGATGCAAAACATAACCTCATATTCTACCTCAGGTGTACTTTTTTACATCTTCCAGTTTCAAAACAATACATATTTTTTGTACAAAGTATTCTTCACTTGTATGTATTTCAAATAGTAGTTACAATCATTTGAAGTACATTTATGACTGTTTTGACTACACAATAAGGAATTTTAAATGCCCATTTTTCACATTTTAAAAGCTAACACTTAAAAATTTTGAATTTTCATAAGACAGATGGCAGATTTCATAAGATAAAAGGACTTGCTGGTTGAAATTCATGTTCTTCTCTCTATTTATTCGAGAACGATAGTTAAAAAGTAAATAAAGAGAACAAAAAAAAGTTTCCATATTCTTTAACTGAACTTTTTTGTTTTGATATTACATGAAAAAAATGCTATCATTCTAACTTGAATTCTCTTATTGAAATAATCTACTTGAAATTTTTACAAGTAGTTAAGAAAAAATTGCTACTGAAACTATTGCCTTGACACTAGATATTGTAAATAACAAAGTAAACTGACATAAAATCATGAACTTACGTTCTTGAATTTTTTTGAAGTAAACTATAAAAAATTAAGATTATAAACGTAACCTTATTAATACAGAACCTACTTCATAAACAGTGGATATATCACTGGCAAAGTAAACTGGCAGGAAAACATACGCGGCTATTATTGGTCCAAGAATAAATCCGATGTTCATAAAAAGCATGTTTGTTCCATATAAGTAAGTGTCAACAGGAATCCCCATCAGAGTTGTAGCAGACATGAATGTGGCCATTGTAGATAATATGACAGGAAACACTGGCATATTCCTTCCAGCTAGAAGGTATTCTTTATTGGTATTACCATTATTGATGAACTGAAATAAAAGACCAATGATAGAAGATATGACCAACGCTGCCCCAATCACAATGTAGTCTGCAAAGGTGAGAGTTAGCTTTTCAGGATACATGATTAGGAATCTGTAAATGAAAGAAGATTTTAATTCTTAAGTGTGGCTTAGATGCCTACTTCAAATTTTGTTTCTTAAAAAGAAAAAAGTTTATTACGAAGGTGAAAACTATGCTCTTTTTAATTCAAATTGACGACTTTTGGTCATATTTAACACACAAAATTTAAAAAAAAGAAATGAAAAGAAAGAAATCTACAATATTAAATTACCCCAAAAAAAATACACATTGCATAATTTTATAGCTTCATGCACTGTAAAAAAAGGGGACTCAAATAAAAAGAAACTTTCTTCGTATTTGGTGAAACTGATTTCTAGCAGAGCCTGACTAAGGCAGGGGCATACAGGGCAGTCGCCCCAAGCCCCCACACCTAAGGGGGCAACCAAATCGAATAAAGAGTTTATTTTACATTTCCTTCTTTAATGAACTTTTCTTTAAAACAAAATATCTGTACAGTGTAAAAATCCGTCAGTTTTATGTTAGTTCTTCACTAATCTATCGTATGAACACAATCTATATTTCGTAAATCCATGGCTTTCTAGGACGGAATTCAGCTTAAATGTTATAACTATGATGGACAAATTTGGCCAACCAAAAGCCTGTGTTTTTACATTTCGCAAAATGCGATATGCTTACAAAAATACAGGCTTCTGATTGGCTTAATTGAGCCATTGTAATTGCGAAATTTCTGCTGAATTCCGCCCTAATTTCAGCAAGGGAATGAATTTTTCGAACCTAGATGAGAAAGTTAGCAATCAGAAAACTGCATTTGGCATGATGGACATAGAATTGTCAGAAAATCAATAAGAAGGACAGAATGATATTTCGTCTGACCATTGGGGGGGGGGACTTTACAGCCTCCCTTAGGTTCTAGACAATTTTCCTGTTATTTGTTATACTGAGATGAAGAATTTAAATACCTTCATAAAGTTAGATTCTTCATTACTTAAAAAGTGAAGCAGAGGAAGTTTTAGCCTCGGGCCCCACCTAGGCTAAGTCGGGCTTCGATTCCTACCATATGCTCTAAGCAAACATTTCGTCAAAGTAACAAAATAACTATCGTCACTTCTTGGAGGAAACGAATTTCCTCAAAATTAAAGAAATATTTAGCCCTATCCCCCCCCCCCCAAAAAAAAGTCCGCAGTACTTAAAACTTTTCTAATAATCAATTTATTGTGGCACAATATAGGTGGCATAATGTATAACAAGGACAAATGGAACAGCGAATTAAATTGTCTAGAAATAAGAATCTCTTGCCGAAACCCGGATATTAGAAAGCCATCAACTTCTTGTTACCAAGCCAATTTTTTGCCCAATATACATGCCGTTACATTTTCTTCGAATGTCTAGTTTTTATTCTAGTTTTATCATTCTAGATATAAAAGAAATGCACTACGGTAAAGTTTTGAGTTGAGGAAACATATTCGTCATATATTTGAGAGTTCGCGTTTCGTTACAAAACACGTGATTTCGTGGCGAAATGATTCGAAAAATTAACTAAATACTGCTAAGGGATTGATGAATAGTTAAAAGTCAGAGTTTTATTTCTCAGAGGGCACTTTTGAGAAAAATCCATTGAAATTCTTAATTTCAATGACGCTATTTCTCCTAATAAAATAAAACGACCCCTTTAATTTTGACATTATTTGAAAAGTATAATACTGCGAAATGTATTTACAGGCAAAACATGTAAATGTGTAATCTAAAAGCACGCATTTTTTGAAAACGAAAAAAGATGACGAATAATAAAATAAAAATTTTAAATATTAAAAAATAAAAGAAATTGACTTAACTCAAGTTTATTAACGTTTAGTAAGTTCATTAGTTTCGACAATTTTACTCTAATATAAAACTGATCAAACAAAATGTTGTTTTTCTTGGTGTAACATTCTAGTTTAAAGTTTAAAAATGCATTTCAATGATTAGGTTTAATTTTATCTTACTTTATTTCTAGACAAGGAAATTAAATTCAAATTCCTCAGATAATTAAATAGTATGAATTACAGAAGCATGTACGAGGTTCAGGTTATTGTTTACGCTTTGATATCAGTATTTTGAGTTATAGATTAATCATTATTTAGAAAAATAAAATTGCTCCGTTTTGCCTGCAAAAATATCACACACAAAATATATATAAAAAAATAAGTTAAAAGACGGATATTCGTCATGTCTGCTTAAAACAGATTTCATAATTCCATTTTAGCAATTACTAGGTTTTACTGTATTCCTGAAAATGATGCTAAAATTTGACTGAGTTTAGCTTTTAAACACGTACTTTTTAAAAACAAGTTTCAAATGAATGTAACTCATAATTGATTTTCCACCATCGCTTATAACATAGGTATTGTTCTTTTTAAATTCTTGCGACGATAGTTGCAATTATTTATCTTTTTCGTATTCTTTTTCTTAATTGTAAAAAGTGCCTTATTAACGAAATCCTTTAATGGTGCAGAAAACAGTAAAATATTTAAAAATGGCAGGCTATTTTCAAAAAAGAATTTCGAGTTTATTTCGTCAATTTATTAGCTTCTTTTTTCAATGTTACTTTTTATTCCTCAATTTCGACCAGTGGAATTTTAAACAGCTAAAAAATTTTAAACGAAATTTTACTCTTCATTACCACATGAAGAGTTTTATTTTATTGTTTTACACTATTATGTTTTTATGTGCACCTTTTTGGTTTAAGACTAATTTAAAAGAATCTATTCATAGGAAAATAAAACTCTTCAGAACCAGATACAACTGATAATAAGTTTTGGTCAATTTGTTTCAAAATTCTGAGATCTAAGTTATACTACGCATTGCTATGAATTTACAGCAAGTTTCGTCAAGTATGGCAGATCTTCTTTAGAGTAGTTTTTTGAAAGAACAGTTGTTGAATACTCTAACCAGACGAATTTATTTTTAAAACTCAGCGAGTATAAGCATACATGCATTAATCTTTTGATAAATATATAGTTAAATATACATATAATATAAGCTTAGATAGATATTACAAGTATATGTGTATATGTAGGCAAGCATATATGCTTACAGTAGCTTTATATTTCTTTTTCAAAGCATTAGATGCTTTAAGTGGAATTTATCCTTTGCGGGTAAAAATGATATGTCAAATTTTTAGCTATTCATCTATATAATTACAATAAAATGATTTTAAAAATCGATAAAAAAATTTATAAAAATAATCGGAAAGCAAAATAATAATGAGATATAATCTAATTGTGTCATCAGCTCACACGATTATAACCACTAAAAGGAGTGCTTTCTAATATTGCATTAATATAGCCCTAGTAAGCGAAAATCAGAGGGATCTTTTTATGACGCCTTCTTACTGCAGACTGAACCGCGTTTGATTTATTAGTTACCTTGAATCGTCCCGAAAATGGATGTGCAAAAGGTAACTGGATATATACTGGATGACTGACCTTTTATAAACAAGGTTGATATACAATTTTAATGACTTAAAAAAATATTAACATTTACCCCCAAAAAATACGATTTTCCCAGTTTGCATAGATTTTTAGCCATGGATTGCCCGAATCGGATTTGCAGATGGTATTAATATAGATTTAGTCACCAAAGAAGTTTTCCGTGAATTTAGTAATACTAATAACATACAATTAACTCAAGGATTTTATATAGAATTTAATTACATTAGTTGGGTAGCCTTTTTTTAAATATTTTTTTTTTTGTCAAATTTTGAAAGAGTTTGTCTATTTGTTTCTTCATGAAATGACATTAGGAAATATTTTACTAAATTCTTTTATTTCAATATACTTATTTAGAAATCATAATAATTTTATAATATTACTATGAACGAGACTTAGCACTTTATTACTCATGAAACATCAATAACTAAAGTTTGTGGAAAATTTAGTTAAGCATAAAATGTCTATTATGAAGCGATTTTGAGTAAATATTTATGAATCTTAATTTGAGAAAAAGTTAATGCTTAAGATGGAAGCAATGGCAAACTCATTTAATATTCCTTTATACCTAATGATTGCAGTAAAGATTTAAATTAAAGAATAACCTTTATTACATATTAGGCATACTTATTATTATTATTACTTAGCATTAATATATATATAATATTAATATATATGTATATATATATACATATATATATATATATACATATATATATATATATATACTAACCAACACTTTAAATAAAATTAACAAAAAATTTCTACATACCTTTGCTTCAAATTTAAAAGAGTGAATGAAAGAACTTAACTACGACATAACCAACACAGAGTGGTAATAAATTTCAATTAGTTCTAATTCTACATCCTTGCATAGCTGTTTCCATGATATTCCGTATTTGTTTATATTGGAAGAGTATCTTATGAGAGAAAGTTTCCTACTACACGTATATCTTTATTTCCACTATAGATTTAGATAAGACAACGTTCACGCTGTCCGGTATAAAAAGGAATAACGAAGAAAAAAATTTTTTTCTGTCTAGTTCTGTGCTTTACTAAATTATTGCGATAAGATTCTCGCTGTTCTTTTAATAACAAAAACATGCTGCTAGATGGCAGAAAACAACAATTGACAACAATCCTATTGTTTATATATGCAATGATTATGGCCTTGATTTTCATTGTATTTAAATTAGAGGCAAATATTTTCAAATAACGCCCTTATAGTACATCTATCTGTCTATAGTTTATATTTTATTTTAAATTTAATATGTTTTTAAAGAAGAAAAGGAAACATTATTTATAAAAGAAATATTTTTAAAAAAAGTTTTATTTTTCTCTTTGAAATGGAAATGCGTGTTTATGTGCTTTTAACTTATTTTATCGTTTCAATGACCAGTGCTAAAAAAAAATTTTGAATGACCACCTCTGACCTCCTTTGATCTCCACGTTCTGGGACTTATTCTTAATGGTTCGAGGGGGAGAAATCTTTATGTGCTAAAAAATAAATGAGAATATTTAAGTTATGAAATCAGAGGCAAAAATATACTTTGTCTGAATAAACAAACTTTGTTTTCGACGGATTCGTATTTCTGACCACCAAAATATAGGGAGGGGCCGCAATCTTGGACATTTTAAATTTACCTTTTGCTTATTTCAATATATCTCAAGAAATTTTTAAGCGAATTGAACACTTTTTGCACACAATTATAAAATTCATTTATTCTATGCAAAAAAAAAACAATACTTTTTTGACATTCATAACTCGTTATTATTTTACTTAATAATGGTCGAAATAATTTCGAGAAATAAGGTACACAATTTTTTGCATCATTTTAAAGAATATAATTTTGCATGGCAAAATGCAAAATTTGAGCAAAGTCGGTGGAAAAGTTCCTGAGAAATTCAATTTCAAGGAAGTAAGATATTTAAAATTCGATTTCTCAAAAACTATTTGATCGATTTTGCGTAAATATTAAACTTTGCCATGTAAAATTATATTCTTTAAAGTAATGCAAGAATTTGCATATCATTATTATATGAAATAATAAATATTTACTAAAAGTTATTTTTTGCATTTAAATTGTCTTTGGATAAACAAATTTTATGATTTTACGTATTTCGACGTACCTAAACAGTTCTCGAGGTACGTCGAAAAACGCAAAAAATAAAATTAAGGGACAAAACTTTGGACCGCTCTCCCAACCAAACAATGGGACAATATTTCCCAGATTGCAGCCACCCCCTATATTTTGGCGATCAGAAACCTGAATCAGTTGGAAAAAATGGCCTTTTTATTAGAAGAAAGTAAGTTTTTATATCTGATTTCGTAGCTTAAAATATCGCCTGTACTTATTAATTATCATATTTGAGGTCACCCCCTCGAGCTATTAAGATTCAGTCCAAGAACGTGAAAATCCGATCATTAGATGAAAGCTTATTCAGGGTAATTTTTTTTGAGCATTGTACTTGCTGCTTATATATATATATANATATATATATATATATATACTGGATATACAGTACCAACTGGGGTATTTTTTAAGTGTTAGTTATACGTTAAGTAATTATTTAAAATAATTTCATATTTTTATAGGACTAAAAACTAGTTGAGAAGTTATAATTTGGTTTTATTTTTGATCCTTTTTAAGATGACTTTAGAAATTTTGGACATAAACGGTGCTATGGTGCCTTATACTGTCATACTAATTATTTGTAACGAAGCTTACCTTTTCTTTTTCCATCCAAAACATCTCTCTATGTATTATACGATACTCAAGTTATGTCTTAATAAGTGCTTGAGGAAGTAGTACAGAAAATGAATGTTTTCTGCCTTATCTCACAACAGAGATGGAATTAATTTTAATACTTCAGCTGTTACTACGATGAAATATAAGGAACTAATACTTTGGGTGGTTTATGTGTTTAACGACTGCCAGACATATTTTAAATTATTGTTTAAGTTTAATACATAAAACACTTGTAAATGTTGCGGAAATTTCTTGAAAATGGTTAAAATTAAAATCTAAATACTTTTACTCGTGGAACAGCTAGACGGTGAAAATATTTGGTTAATATATTGCTTCAAATTGACTGAAGTTTTAAGATTGGGGGATAGATAAAATAATTAGGCTATTTGAATACAGCTGTACTGTGCATTCACTTTGGTTACTGTTATAGTTTATATACGTTGTACATGATAATTTTGAAAGATGACTAAGCTGGTCGCTAAAAGCGCTCTATGCATATTTATAAAACTGATATATTTTTTTCATCACTCCAACATTCGTATTTCATTCCTTTAAAAATTTAGTGCTAAAATTTTGTAAAATTTCTTTGATACAATCCCGTACAGCACATAGGTAACCTTTTTTAAGTAAAGCATTAATGAAATATCGCGTCATTCTAAAGAAAAGTATAATAAATTTCGTAGTCTGTTGCAAAAATATGAAATTATATATTAAATGAAATGGAACAACACGATATGAAATGTTTGTGTCAGAAATGTAAATGCATTTCTTTAGTGAGAATTGTTTAAAATACAAATTTTATAAGATTCATGTGTATTATTAAGTAACACTGAAAATCTATATTTCTGTGTTATAAAATAGAATATATTGAAGGAAATGAAAATTGATATTTCCTTGAAGTATTATATCACAGTACAGCATAAGTAGAATATTTTCTTAAAATCATTTTGTCGTTTATACCTTTAAGCATTTGCTTGTTTCGTAGGTGAAACTTGCATAGTCATTGTATAAGATTTCACATAGTGCTCATAAAATAATAATTAAAGTAAAAAGAATTTTCTACATCTCATTGCTTGAAACCAATCAACTAATAGATCTTATAATCCTACATTTGAAATATCGATTTTACATTTGAAATAAAGGGAAAAATAATTTTTTTAATTAAAAGTTTCAAAAACTTAGATAAATACATTACAAATGATAAGTTAATATAATTACAAAAACTTCTTCAACTCATGCACGAGTTGGGAGATAAGCTATTCTTTTTAGATAAAGAGTTTATTTTTATCTTTGCAGTGACGTTTGATGTATCAGTAGAATTTTAAAGTTAATGGTGTGTAATGTACTGTCTGTGAATCACGAGCAAGAGCCAGTTATGTGACTTCCAGCCAATATTAATTGGTATTTTATCGGTTATAAGTATTGTTGCTAATAGAATTTGTTACCGTCATTAGGGCACAACTGCTTCAAAATGTGAACAATATTTATAATTGCAACAAAATTATTTCAACATCTGAGAACAAAGAAGGCTACAAAATTCAACAGAATAACATAAACAGTTTATTTTATAAAATAGAAAGAGGCATATATCCATTACATGGTATTCAAATACAATATATTTTATAAATAAAAAAATATAAGTACCTTCTAACACTTTAAGAGTTTCAAATATTTTGCTTTGATAGAACAACAAGTTTCAAACATTTTGCTTTGATAGAACAACAAGTTTCAAACATTTTGCTTTGATAGAACAGCAAGTTTCAAACCTTAATGAGCATAGATGCTTCTAAATTTCTATAAATTATACATCTCTTATTGTTATCTAATTACAAAGTTTGTACATACTGGGCAATAAATGCTTTTTTGTACTTGCAATTTATTTCTCTTTTGTACTTGTGAAGAATATAAACTATCATTATTTTCTAAAATTTACTTTTAAATGTATACCTTAAATTCAGTTGACAAACAATTCATGATTGCAAGCGTTGAATTCTAATATTATGTTTTTTCATCTAGTTTTATCGTTATCTATTTAATAATGATTCTAATTGCTTCTAATACAAGATTTATGAAGTATTATTAGAGTGTATTATTAGAGTGTATTCTTCAACTGCACATTTTATAACTATAAAGCACTTTTGAAAATAGTAAAGCAATAATAGCTTTGAAAGTCACTTTGCACAAATTATAAAAAGCGTTTTGAAGTGTAAAAAATATATAATGTTACAATGTTCGATGTGCTAAAATGAAAACTATGCATAGAGCGGTTATGTTACGAGTAAGAGTATGATAGAGTATGGAAATATGCCAGTAGAAAATGGAAAACGGTAGGCAAGTTTAAGAAAATTTTGTGTTCTAACGTTTGCATAAATAGAAAAGATTTTTACATGCATAAATAGAGAAGTTTTTATTTGAAATTGTTAAATTCATATTGCTAAATTTTATGTTTGACGCTTAAATTCAGTTATTTTCTTAAGAAATTACAAATGTATTTTCTGTTTATTTCATATTAGCTTAAACAGTATAGCTAATTTGTGACAGTTTACTGTAACGAAGAAACAGCCACTGCACGTTTAGAATAAGTTATTTATCTAGTTATTATAAGTTAGTTATTTTCTTAAGAAATTACAAATATATTTTCTATTTATTTCATGTTAGCTTAAACAGTATAGCTGATTTGTGACAGTTTACTGCAACGACGTAACAGCCACTGTACGCTTAGAATAACGGACTAAATATCAAAAACAAGCTTCTCAAACAAGTTTATTTACATAAGTATTTTTGATTGGATGTCTTAGGCATATATTTAAAACTTTTTTTTAAAATAAAATATTGCGTTTGTTATTTTATTTTTCAGAAACAACAAATTTTAGATGATTTCAAAAAAAAAAATTTAAAAAAAAAATGAACATTTGGTAATATTATTCATTTAAGTTTTTTCCTATTAACTTTTAATTCCGATAAAAATTCAAAAGAACATTTGGTAGTATCACTCATTTGAGTTTTTTTTTAAAATTTTAATTCCAATAAAAATTTAAAGAATAGATCCTTAATTATTGGATTATTAGAAAGCACAATTTTATGAGTATTTTATGTATCTTGTCAGTAAGAAAAGTTATTTCATAAAGAAATTTTCTATAAACAACAAATTTTATATATAATTCTCTCAATTGTTATAATACTAACGAAAACTTCATTTTTTCTAAAAAAGTACAAGACTTAAATTATTTTGCTGTACAGTTTTGTATAGAAACATTTTAATATATGCAAAATTATTACTTTCTCTGAATGTCGGATCATGATGTCAGAATATGAATTCTTGTATTATTTCACTGAATTTTCTTCTATTAAATCCCCCCCCCCCTTTGTAAGCGGACAAATTATTGTGAGCTGGAAAAAAAATTTGGATTATTAGAATGCACAATTTTATGAGTATCTTATACTTCTTGTCAGTATAAAAAGCTATTTTATAATGAAATTTACATTAAACAACAAATTTTATATTTCCTTCAATTTTTACAATCACAAAAACTTCATTTTCCTTAAAAAAATACTGGGCTTTAATTATTTTCTTTAACAGATATTACATAGAATTATATTTTAATATATGTGAAATTATTACATTCTTTGAATGTTGAATTTGATGTCAGACAATGAACACATATATTATATCACTGAATGTTCTCTGTTAAATTCTCCCTATTTGTAAGAGCACAAATTGTTGGAGCTGAAGAAAAATATTATAATCTACTGTCTGCCAATCACGAGTTGAGCTTTCAGTGAGAACAATGACCCATTATGTGATTGCTGATCAATAGTAATAGGTATATTAATATCCGTTATGAGTATTGTTATCAACAGAATTTTTAGACTAAAAGTTTTCCTATTGCCCTGACATTTGGTGCTTCAGTAGAATTTTAAATTTATTGATGTGTAATCTCCTGTCTGTCAATCACGAGTTGAGCTTTCTGTGAGAACAAGTACCCGTTATGTGATTGCTAGACAATAGCTATTGGTATTTTATCAGTAACAAGTGTTACTGATAGAATTTGTTTCCGTCAATAGGACGCAAATGATTCAAATGTGAACAAATTATTTCAACATCTGAGGACAAAGAAGGCTACAAAATTCAACAGAATAACAAGTTTTTTTTCTGCATAAAATAGAAACTGTCATATATCCATTACATGGTATTTAAATACAATATATATTTTTAAATACAAAAAATATAAGTACCTTATGACACTTAAAGAGTTTTAAACTTTTTACATTGATTAAATAACACGTTTCATACCTTAATGAGCATAGATGCTTCTAAATTTCTATATATTTTATTTCTCTAATTGTTATATAATTACAAATTTTGTATACACAGTGCAATAGATGCTTCTTTGTACTTAGAATATATTTAATTCGTTTTTGTACTTTTGAAGAATATAAACTATAATTATTTTCTCAAATTTGCATTTAAAGGTATATCACAAATTCAGCTGACAAACAATTGATGATTGCACACATTTGTTCATCTAGTTTTATCGTTAGCAATAAATGTAATGTGTAATAAATGTTATCGGGCAATAAATGCTTTTTTGCACTCACAATTTATTTATCTTTTGTACTTCTGAAGAATATAAACTATCATTATTTTCTAAAATTTACTTTTAAATGTATACCGTAAATTCAGTTGACGAACAATTGATGATTGCAAGCTTTGAATTCTAATATTATGTTTTTTCATCTAGTTTTATCGTTATCTATTTAATTATGATTCTAATGGCTTCTAATACAAAATTTATAAAGTATTATTAGAGAGTAACTTTCAACTGCACATTTTACAATCACATTTTAAAATAGTAAAGTAATTATAGTTTTGAAAGTCACTTTCCACAAGTTATAAAAAATGCGTTGAAATGTAAAAAAGTAATAAAGTATGCTGCAATGTGCTATGTACTAAAATGAAAATAAGAAAATTGCATAGTGTGGTTATGTTACAATGTTACGAAGAAGCGTATGATAGGCTAAAGAAATATGCCAATAAAAAATGAAAAACAGTGGTCAAGTTAAAAAAAATTTAAATCGCGTTCTAACGTTTGCATAAATAGAAAAGTATTTCTAGAAATAATCATATTGATAAATGTCATGTTGTCTAGTGAAATTACAAATATATTTTCTAATTATTTCATATTTTATATCAACTAAACAGAACAGTTGATTTAAGACAGTGTACTGTAATCATGTAATAACCACAGCACATATGGAATAACGGACTAAATATATATATAAAAAACGTTTTTTAATTAAGTTTTTTATATTTATTTCTTTGATTGGATCTATTAGGCATATCTTTAAAAAAAAAATTTCATTTTTCACTTAGAGAGACAACATATTTTGAGTGATTAAAAAAACAAACAACATTTTCAAAAAATAAAATACAAAAAAATAAGCTTTCAGTAGCATTATTCATTAGATTTTTTTATTTAATTCCGATAAAAATTCATAAAGAATTTTCATATAATGGATTATTAGAATAAAAACTTTCTGAATATTTTACATTTCTTGACAGTAATGAAATTTATTTCATCAGGAAATTTGCAATAAGCAACAAATTTTATATTTCTTTAAATTTTACATTAACAAATTTCATTTTCCTTAAAAAAAAATACAAGAGTTAAATTATTTTATGTAACAGATATTGCATAGAAACATATTTTAGTATATGCGAAATCACATTCTCTGAATGTTGAATCATGATGTCAGATTATGAACTCTTGTATTATCTCACTGAATGTTCTCCCTTTAAATTCACCCCATTTGTAAGAGGACAGATTGTTGTTAGCTAGAGGAAATAAATAAAAGATTTATAACAATAGCAAATGTTATAAGCCATAAAATAATCCATATTATTACAAGAAATTATTAAACAACTCAAATCATACAACAAGATTATGAAATTTCGGCTCTTTTCGAAAATTACTTCGATTTATTGGCACTTTTGGTAAAGCAATGGAAATAAATTGAAGATAATTATATGTTTTTAAGTAAAAAAATACCGTCATCCATATCGTGAATTTGAGTGAATAGAGAAGTATAACGGGAAGGCTCCGGTTTAAGGTGTCATGAAGCCTGGGGCTAATGAATAAGGTGGTGCTCTATTTATCATAAAATGTTTTAATATCTTAACGTTAAAGTTTAATACGGTACTAATCAAAGTTAAATCAGTTAAAAACTTAACAATCAATACATTAAATTAACAATTAATATATTAAAACATACATTAAATAATGAAAATAAGTTATATAAGCTTATAAATAAATTTTTGATAATATAAAAGCTTCATTTGTTTAAAAAATAAAATATGAAGGTAGAAAATGTCGACATATTTTGAGCGCTTAAAAATGGCTGTCGATTCTTTAGGCTCGTTAGACGATAATTAGTCTTTAGATAAAAGATTTTTTTATAATTTTGAGTAAAAACTTTTCAACTTGCTTAAAAAGCTCCCGAAACTATTTTATTTAGACCATATTTTACAGATTTCGACTACTCCGTATATTTTCAGGGTCAAGGTATTTCAAAAAAGGTATTTTATGCAGAAGAAGTACAATTTTGTGTCTGTATTTGTTACTTAAAATCTCGTATCTGGGTTTTTCATGTTTAAAATAATATAATAGTAAAATAATGACAACAGACAAAATTTTTTTGGCTTAATATTTAAAATTTATCTGAAAAACATTTACATTATTGTAAAAAAAAAAAAAAAAATCAATGTAGAAAAGAATCGTGTTTTAATTTTTATTTGTAAGGTCCTGTATATTCTTTTCGAAAACAAGTTTTTTAAATGCTTAGTTTTTTATGGCTAATTCATCAATACCAGGAACTTGAATCCAGCCTCTGCTTATTATTTTTTTTTTAACTTTCTTTTTATAAAAAGCTCTGTTTAAAATTTTTACATATTTCACCTACTTTTTCTTAAATCCTATTTTTGTTTATCAGAATTGTTTTAAACAAAAATCTATTTTGTTATAGCTACGTTCTCAAAAGAATAATTTATTCCAAAAATTAAACTGGACAGTTAATATACTTTGGAATAAGAGGGTGGAAAATGGATGGTAGAAGAATTCGGTAATATAATTAAATTTAGTATTTCTGTAATGCGACGTAACGAATGCGTGGAATGACTTTATAAATCTATTACTTTATGTTTTACTTCTTCACAACAATTCAGAATATTAAGTAAAATTATATCGCCGAATTATTCTACCACCATCTAAATCTTTCCCTTGCTAACTCCAAAAAAAAAAAAAAAAAAAAAAAAAAAAAAAAAAAAAAAAAAAAAAAANAAAAAAAAAAAAAAAAAAAAAAAAAAAAAAAAAAAGCAAGATAATATCGCAAAATACAAAATCTAATATTATATAGCATAAAAACCCATTCCAAAATAATGCTATGGCGAACGCGAGATAATATTAGTTAGTATAGAATCTAAAGTTATATAATGCAGAGAAAACAGCGGCCTTTCGTATCTCTCATATTAGAAAGTTGTGCAAGATGTAGATGACGTTCGATTTTACTGGTTTTCTGATGCTATCTAATATTAGGTGCCAGTTGGGGCTGTGGGAAGAGAGTGGGGAAAAATACTCCTCACACGTGGTCAACATTTCTTCCCAGCTGCTTGTAGGTCAAGGTCGCGTACAATGGCATGCACACTCGCTGGTAGAAAGGGGAAAATGTTAGGGTAGGGTGGGAATTGGAAGAGTTGAATGTAACAGATTGAGTAAAAAAGAAGGGCGTCACTCATAGAAGTGTCCTAATGGGCATAGGCGTCGGGGATGAGGGGGCGCTTGCCCTCTCAATAATTTTTCAAAATTTCGTTTTTTTTTTAATTATTATTTTAAAAGAAAACACTAAAAAACTTTTTTTATTTAATAAAAAATAAATAATTTTCGATAGTTTATTAATAATTTAACGAAATAATTTTATATTTATCACTTTTTGGCGAAAGTTGTATCTTAAAACCATTTCATGAATTTTTTTAAATTATTTTATCATTACTTAGCGATTTTGATGTTGGAATCGATGAGTTTCAATATAGTTTATAAACATGGTTATTAGTTATTTAGTTTAATCCATGCACAATAAACTTTATTTAATTACAATTGTTTTCGATTAACATGGTGTAATGATTTTATAAGACCTGTTTATTTTTTGTAACTGTCGAAAAATTTTAGCATCATTTAAAGTTATTTTTGTTTTAAAGCATTATAGAATTTTAAGCATGTTAGGAACTTAAAAATTTTTATTCTGATTTTTCTTTTTGGATTTGTCTTCCTTGATTTTTAGGTAAGATGTGATTAAATACATATATTAATTATTCTTATAATTTTAAACCAATAAGTTCTATTTCATACGAAATATCCCCTTTACATTGCTGAAAAATTTTAAATACAATGCAACAATTTTCTGCATGTCTCAATAGAATGTGTTCCAAACTGTTTTATTTGATTATCACATAACTTTTAAGAACCTACAACCGAACTACATGCATAAAAATATTGAGAAGTGGCGGATTATTGCACACAGTAAAAATGTTATTTTTTAGATTTTAAGGGACTTTGATATCGAGGATTACAGTTAAATAATAAATAAAGTACATTATGATGAATCTCATTTTCTGTGACGCTTATTGTCACTCAAAATTAAAATCAAGAGAAAGGACTAAAATTAGATTTCTGGAACATTTCAGAGTATTCGATTAAATAAAACTACCGTGGGAAATCTCCATCGGCAAATAGTAACTTAAATACGGATAAAGTAATTCAAATAAACAATTAGGTTTATATCTTACAATGTCACCCCCATCATGTGACAAACTCGAAAACAACAATAACTTTTGGACTTGACCTTTCCTCAGATTTGTAACTTTTTATCACCCCAAAAAATACGATATAAAAGCAGCCGAAGGAAAGGGTTGAGGAGACAATCAAAGAGCAATCAGCCAGTGGTGACAAAAGGCTGAAACCGATACCATGACTAAACTTGGTAAATCCAAAGATAAATTCAAATTCTTAAGTCAAAATTATTAAACAGGAGGTAGGAAAAATAAATAACCATTACTACACTAAATCAAATTGGAACAGCGCACAAGCCAGCTAAAACCAAATTCAAATTATATAAACTAGTAACAATATAAAATTACTTAAAAATGATTTAAAATATAATGTAAAAATAAAATAAAATTGTGTGTTTACAGAGCAGCACTTCATCAGGGAACACACTGTCTGCAAACACACAGGAGCCTTTCTGTTGTTAGTGGCAAAGCCAAAACTAACAGTGCCCCGAGGCCCCTAATGATAATACAAACATAAAGAATAATAATAATTACCACATTAAAAATCATATAAATTTGCAAGAGAATCACACTCAAATTAACAAATATATAAAACACTACAATGAAACGCCCCCAAAGCACATTATAAATAATCAAAACGATAAACAGTTACAGTTAATAAAAGTGAAAATGAAATTCCTAAATATACCAAATCAGCTCAAAAATAAAGTGCTGACACCTAGATGTAAATAAACAAATTAAGACTCTCTCTCCATCTATTCTAAAAGCACGTAAGAATTAATGTATAGATGATAAGTTGAATTAATTGTATATTCTAATTCTAAAATAGTCCTGTAATTGCTAAATCGGTTTAATATAGTTATGTTATTTCTTAAATTGTTCAAATAATAAAGTGTTACTTGTTTTAAAACCAAGACTTCTAATAATTCTTTATTTAATTTTAATAAAAACGCCACATTTCTCATAATCTTCCGAGAAATGGTTAAAAACGAATTTAATCTGTAAAAACTAGTTCGCGTTTTGGGTAAAGCGATCAGATCGTTAAATACCAGCCTAAACTAATTTTATTCATGCAACTCTTTTATTAAAATGTATATTATGACAGTTAGAATTGCATCAGATTTGCTATTATTTTACGTAAAATGAAATATAATTCACATAAAAACACTTTCCTAACATTTACTTAACGATTTAAATGTTAGTATGAATTAGATTAAAATAGGAATGAAAAGTTTAAAAAAAAATCAATATTTTTTTTTAATTAATTGTTTAAAAATAAACTTAGTAACTGAGAAAAATTGAAGTTTGACATTTTCATTCCTAGAAAAATATAGAGTGCACATAAAAATAAAAAAAATAAATAAACTAAAAGAAAAAGGTAATAAGGAAATAAATAGTATTAACAGTCCAACTTGAATAACCTTTGATTTAATGATCAGTTCTTCACGTTCCAGGCCTCAATCTTAATTGTTTTAGGGGAGACCAAAAACATGCTAATTAATCAGTGCAGACGATACTTTAAGTTATGAAATCAGACACAAAAACGCATTTTCTTTGAGTAAAAATATTTTTTTTTTCTATGGATTCAAATTTCTCACCCCCAAAATTTATATGGAATCTAGAAAATATGACTCTAATAGTTTGATCAGAACAAAGACTCAAAGTTTGCATCCGTTATTGTTAATTTTACTTTTTGCGTATTTCGCCATATCTCACGAACTTTATTAAGGAATTAAAAAATTTTACCACACAAATAAAAAATTGTTTGTCTTAAGAGAATTCCATGGAAAAAATTAACTTTTAGTAAATAGTTATTACTTTTCAGTAATTTACTTAATTCTAGTAAAACAAATTTAACTGTAAGGTATACAATTTTCAAAACAATTCAAAAGTACGTAATTTTATAAAGAAAAATACTAAGTTTGAACGATTTCGGTGAAATAGTTCCCTAGAAATTGAATTTTAAAAGCAAAACCTTTTTATAATTTGTTTTCAAAGGAACTATTTGACCGATTTCGCTCATTTTTTTTAAAATTTTGCCATGTAAAATTATATTCATTAAAATGATGCAAAATATGTTCAATCTTTCAATTAAAAATTTTTTCGACCATTGCAAAACAAAATAATAATAAAAAAAATATTTACTTAAAGTTATTTTATAGTTGTGCAAAAAAATTTAAATTTGTTTAATAAGTTTTCGAGATGTAACGAAATACGCAAAAAGTATAATTAAGGAGTCAAAACCTTAAGACTCTCGTTTGACCTACTTCTCGTAGACCGTTTTGTGTCTGATTTCGTTACTTACAATATCGCCTACACTAATTAATCATATTTGAGGTCATGGGTCTTAGAGTCTTAGAAAGTGAAGATCGGATCATTGATAAAAAAAGTTATATAAGGTGTTTTTTTTTTTTTTTTTTTTTTTTTTTTTTTTTTTTTTTTTTTGAGCGCAGTACATTAATCTTAATCTTTTACAAATAAGTGATTATATATGAGAAAGTACGGCACGGTATTTTTAATTTCAATAAAATAAAACATAAAATTTAGATTTTCCATGGTTTCACAATATGCCCTGAACACATGACAGAATCCGTCGTCGCCCACGAATTTTTTTTTTATTCACTAATTTAACTCATCTGTTAAATACAGAAAATTACTCTTGAATAAAGACATTCATAAAATTTTCTGCGTGTATTTCTTTTAATATTTATATTTTAATATATATAATATAATACATATAATATAATATAAATAATATAATATATATAATATAATATATATAATATAAATATAGTTTTATTGGCTAGCAATCCTGGGGAAGGAAATGCGGAAATTGATCACTGGCAGAAAACTTTTATCTGAGGAGTTAATATCCCCTTCGAATTTCTAGAAAAAGAAAGGGAAAATGTCTTTCCGTATCCAACAGAATGCTGGAAAAAGTAGCATTGAAAATAGCAGCTACTCTTGGACTTTTAGATTTCAAGGCATCGCTGATGTCCATAAAACTAGGGGAAAAAAAGAACGGCATTTCGATGCGAAGAGGAACTAATGAAAGCCTGAAGTTACTAGCTGATCACGTTGAAGCCGTAAAGGGCTTCATTCAAGCTATCTGCTTATGGAGGATGACAAATGACTACACGTCATATAATATGCGAAAAATGGATAAAACCATGATGTGGTTTGATGAACTATACGCTCGGACAAATAATATTGAAGAAAAAAAGCACCATAAGAATCTCTAACATCGGGTGCAAAAAGCTAGGAGCAACTGCTTCTGGAAATAAACTCCACGTATTTGTGATTTTAAAAGAACTGATAGGGTGCATCCCACCTCATGTGCTAAAAGACTTAAAAATTTCACAAATTGTTAAGGTTACCCGTTCTCTCAACGGATGGATGACGGCTAAAGGCCTGGTTTCTTAGGACAGGACGCCGTCAGCTGGAAATCAGCGCTAACCTCTGATTGGTCCATTTGTGAGTTTGATAGTGTACGTCATCGAACGCTCATCTTGAACTCGATGACGTATACTATCAAACTCACAAATGGACCAATCAGGTTAGCGCTGATTTCCAGCTGACGGCATCCTGTCCTAAGAAACCAGGCCTTAACGAGGATTTTGAGTCCAAATGAGGATGATGCTCAGAGGTTAATTATCTTGGATCGGACCACAACTCATTGAACCTCGAGTTTGTCTGAAAAAATAAAAAATCTAGACCCAGATATAGTTTTAATTCCAGCAGGGTGCACAAGCCCTCTGCGGCCAGCAGATGTTTCATGGATTGCGCCCTTTAAAAGTGCATTGCGAAGAGAATGAGCTGTCTTCATAAGAAATGAACAAAGAACCTTGATGGAAATTTAAAAAGGGCAACTCTGCAAGATGTGATTGGTTTTGTGTCGCCCGCTTAAGAAACCGTTTCCGAAGAGACGATTTCAATCTCTTTTAAGCGTTGTAGTATATCCAACGCATTAGATGAAAGCGAAGATGGACTTCTTCATTGCCGATTAACGGAAGTTAAGTCGGATTTATAAACAATGATGCTTCTGATGAACTGAATGCAGAGAGCGTTGACCTTATTTTGAACTCTGACATTTCTTTCGATGGATTTTCGAATTCCAATAAATAAAATAAATAAATTATCTTTCTTTTTATGAAATATTTTATTGTCCATATTTTTTATTATTTCACCTATCTGCATGTGCTGCAATCGTACCGAGATCTAAAAATAAAGTATTGTTATAGAAGGTAACTTAGATTTACTGATTAAAGTTTATATTTACTTTCTTTTGTTATAATTATTTTTACTTTATATTTTGTGATTCATACTTAAAAATTCCCAACCAAATATAGTTGATATTCTTAAAACGGCGCTTAGCATTTTCCTCAGTACCGTTTATTCGCACCCCTCGACATCACTGCGATTTTTGTCAAAATTAAGGTAGTACTTTATCTCGGTATTTTAAGGTATAAAAAGTTTACAATCTTTACGAAAAGTCAACGACATAAGATAGAATAGTCTACGGCATTACCTCTACATTTTCCTTTTCTTTCGAAGATCTCATTTTCATCTTATAGACGATTGGATTGAGCAAATTATCTTCAAACACTGTTGGCTTACCTATCAATCAAACATAATATACATAATAATACATAATATGCATAATAATAAATAATATAAAAAAATATATAATGTATAAATGTTAACATAAGCAACACACGATAATGGTAATATAGATCAATTAATATTTCTAATTTTAGTTTCAGGCAAATTTCTATGTCTTTAAAACTCAAATTTGGTCCATTTACAGAAATACCAGCTATCAGCTATTAATTAAAAGGAATTAAAATAAGATTAATTTAAAATTCTTTAGTCTGACTGATCATAATTTGGGGAATATAAGAGACACACTAAAAATTTTAAAAAACTTTTTTCTATCATTCAGCTTAAAAGGTGTAACGGAACAAATTTCTTTGTAAAATGTTAATTTCCTCTCAGCTATTAATTAAGCATGAAGAAAATATGATTAGTTTCAAATTTAATTATTTTAATCTTTCAAGTCTGGCTCATCATAATTTCGAATATAAAAGAGATACTAATGTGTTTGAAAAATTGTTTTCTAGGGTTAAGCTTAAAAGGTTTAATGGAACAAATTTCCTTTAAAATGTCACGTATAGAAATAGAAATTGAATTGTTTGCTTGTAAAATCCTATTTTTCCCCGAAACTAAAATTCTAAAAGTTAACTATACAATATAAACTATATTAACTAAAATATTAACATCATTAAATATAATACTACTAAAATATCAACTATAATAAATTTCCAATTTTTCCGACATAAAATCTATATTTACATTTAAAAAATGCGTTAAAAATCTAAACAAAGAAACTTAAATAAGAAATATGCACAGAGTATACCAGAATAACCATCCATAGCAAATATTGTTTGAGTTTTTTTGTCAAAAAACAACGTATAAGAAGAAAGACAAAGTGCAAGTGAAAATTATGAATTAAGCGAAAAAAAGGTTAGAAACGGTGAAGAAGTCTGACTTGTTTGATTGACAATAAAGCGCAGCTTGTCCTCAAAATATTGATAATATTTTTAAATTATGTAATTTTTGGTAAATGACAATGTTCCTTCCAAATAATACCTTCCAATTTCTAGTCATAACATAACATTGCAAACGAACATTTTTCACGTTGTTCATAAGCATAGAAAATCCAGTTTTGGATTACCATCTTCTGAAACAGGAAAAATACCAGTACACCATCTTCTGAAACAGGAAAAATACCAGTACTTCTTCAAAGAATGAAAGTACTTGTAACTGTCCTATGTGTCTCTATTTATCTCTCTAAATTTTATTGACAGGTGTTGCTTTCGGAATATGAAACTGAATAAATGCCATGCTCAGATCTAGTTGTTTTGATCTCACAGCCTCAAAAAAAGTTATCAGGATCTTGATCTAATTAAACCTATCTTTCACGGAACATTACTGATCATAAGCGAGATTGCTTTTGAAAGACAACATTTATTTCGCTTAAATTATTATCTTAAATTTATTCTCATCAAAAAAGTAAGAAAATAACATCTTATTTTTGAAAACTCACATTAATATCTTACTAATGAAAGAAATTTATATCATTATAGTTTTAAAACCAATGTTATATGGCTTCCTATTGTTATATAGTAATCTACTGTTACCAATCTTTTCTTTTTTTCTTTTCTTTTTTTAAAATGTCTATGAAAATTTCATTCACTGGTAGTTTTTTTGTATTTTGCCAGCTCATTTTTGTTTTTTTGTTTTGTTTCTCTACACATTTGTGATTCATTAGATTACGATGATATTTATGTTTCATTCTGGCTTAAATATTAATATAAGACTACTAATATGAATTACTTTTTTAAAAGGAGACTAAAAATATCCATTGACGCCCGGTGGCTGAGCGGTAGCGCTTCGCGCTGTCGTGCCACAGGTCCCTGGTTCGATCCTCGGGCCGGGCAAGGTTGACTCAGCCTTTCATCCCTTCAGTGGGTCGATAAATGAGTACCAAGCATGCTTGGGAACTAAACACTGGGGGTTCGGCTGACCACCTGACCGGAACATCTGCTCCTGAACCCCAGAGCCCAAGGTCAAGAAAACTGAGATGGGCACAGTAGGCCTTGGCCCTCTATGGGCTGTCGCGCCACTGAGTTTAGTTTAAAAATATACATTAAGAACGGAGAACTTTAAAGACTTTCTATATGTATTATTTAAAAGATTAAAATAAATTATCATCATACCAAACAAGTAACTGCAACAGTAGCCCAGTATTACAGTGATCATTACTCCAATAGGACTAAACCACATATAAGAGATTTTGTAAAGAGGAAAAATATGACTGAAATAAAAAAAATTAAGATAATTACTAGAATATTATTAATTCAATGACACTCATTAAATATTCACACTTAAAACTCTAAATTTTACTAACTAAAGTTAGTTTTCACGAACAAACTTTGAACACTAACATCGAAGAAATAACGGATCAAACAATGTACAGTTAAATTTAAAAAAATACAAAAAATTGCTTATATTTTCATAATTTTTTTTTTAAATCAAGTATTACATTGGTTCAAATTAAGTAAGCATACAGTGGGAAAGGTATTTATCTTCCATGGCTTCGGTGGAGTTTTATTTATAGTCTAAGAACTTAGTATCTGACTGTTCACCGATTGTATCACAGCAGAGCGGCATTGCTATATTTGGGTTAAGTAGCGTAATGCTAAGAAAATCAGCTTTTCTGGAAATGTTTTATGTGCTATGCAAATAACCTTTTTAATCTACTGTTCTTTGAAAGTTGTGTTTCATAAAAAGGCAGCGGTATCAATTTTGTAGTAGAAATCCGTTTGAATGTGAGGGAAAAAAGATCATTCTTTTAGAACGCACTGGCAAGTGACTGTGGGTTCGTAACAGATTTCATGCTTTGTCAAGTTTAAGAATCTGCGCAGATAGAATGCATATCAAACTTTTCTTTTCTAAATTACGGTAAGTATCGCGAGAAGTACCAATAATCTTTCTGGATAATCACAAGCCTCATACAATTAACATTTATTGTGACATTAACAAACGAAGTTAAAAAAGGCTAAATCAAAGCCGTAAAAAAATCTCTTTTGCTATTTGAAATAACGTCTTTATAATCATATAGGACTTGTTTTTGTGTATTTTTTAAGCACATATCAAAGTATTTGCATCAGATATTTAATTCTGTTCGATTAATCGTTAAGATGTATTAAGTTTTTTACAATACAATAAGTTTTTTACAATACAATGTTACTCAAAATACAGTTTCTAGAAAATGAACATAGCTTGAAATGCACATTTGCATAATTGAATATAGCTTTAAAAAAACGTGCGAGATTAATATAGCTTAATATTTGCATTTCAAAACATTAGACATAGATGCTTATTTAAAGCTATGACCATAACTTTAGTGTGTTTTCAAAAAATAGACGGTCACTATGTTCCATCAATAAAACTGGACATAGCATAAAATATACCTATTCAGTGTTAAATAATTCTCCCAAATGTTTTATTCATTCAAGTTACTATTTAAAAAGACGCGTACCACTTTTTTTAAACACTGTTAATAGCATTTGTTAGAAAATTATATCTTTTAAAACACAATGAATGTGGCGTCATTGCTCTTCAAAATTTTGAAACCATAAATTATTAAGGCTGCTGGCAAAATACAAACTTATTGCTGTCTGGCAAAATACAAACTTCTAAATGTTTCTGACTTTATTGATGTGTTTTGAACACCTGTACGTTCTTTGTTAAGGAAATCGTTCTTTTGCTTGTAATTTTTATAATTCCATGCAAAAAATAACTTTCAGTAAATATTTATCTTTTTTTTATTATTTTTTATTAAGAGTCAAATAATTTTGAAATATAAAGTAAAAAATTTTTCACATCATTTAAAAATTTTTTTTTTGTTACATGACAAAATACGAAACGCTAGCCAAAGCTCTCGAGAAAGCAAATTTTAAATATACAACTTTTTAACATTGTGATTTTTTTTTTTTTTTTGCGAGCTGTACATCTTTAAAAGCTATGTCTATTTTTTTAAACATGCATTTTTAGCGAAAGTAATTTTTTTAAAACTAGCGTTTCTTTGTTTATTTTCTTAAATGCAAAATTTAGGCTATGTTCAAAACACAACTTCAAAGATTGTAACTAACGTAAACGTTCACAATTTACGTCAAATACTTACTCTTGAGAATCTTCTTCTACAGAAGAAGTCACTGGCATAAAAGTAGGCATTGTAGAAAAGGATTCTAAGCTGGAATATTCTTTAGGCACACTTGGCGTGATATTTGACATGAAACTTTGATTGGCAAAACATCCATCGGTAGAAACAGGTAACTTAGGATGAGCGATATTTGTAGAAGCACTACCGAAACTTATCCAAGCTGTCACAGAAATAGAACACAGCAATCCAATAATCGCCCCCTAAATCAAAGAAACAATGATAGCAATGAATAGAGCATTTTATTTTTTAATAATGAAGAAATAAAATTTATACCAATGTTATAGTATCAAAATAATTTTTTCTTTTTTTGTTAACGATAATATGTTAGGCAAATTTGAATGATTAACTTTTCAAACAACTGTAAAGACCGATTTATTTAAAAACGTTCTAACTTATATTTCTTGAATAATGTCGACGAAAATTAACACAATAACAAGGATTGGAATTTATTATTTGATAATGATGTAACCAATTGCTAATAAGATATGTTTTAATAGCCCTTTTAATATATAAAGATTAGATCAGTAGGTAAATGGTGGCTTAATTGCAATTTTAGAAAGATGAAATTTAGATGTCAGTAGCATATTAATTGCAATTACGAGTACAGTAGATGAATATTTAATCACCTGGTTAATAGTCACTTAAAAAAACTTTTAGTACGTGAGGTAATTACTTGGTAAAAAGTTGCTGACCGTGCAACATTTCTTTCTTCAACCTCAATAGTTGAAATATTCCGTTGTTCACCAACCTTAATAAAAAATTTCAAAATTCCTATAAATTACAAGTCGTAAGTTTTCATTTAAGTAGGTAGAAATCAAAAGCGGTACAATATTTGACGAATCATTATCGAGAAAAACGGATTAAAAACATTAAAACTTGCTCGATTGCTATATAATCTTGATATAAGATATTTCTAATGATAATTAAACTGATTTTGAGTTTTCTTATTGACTTTGCTAGTTCGTTTTTATATTTGCATAAATATCAATAAATAAAACCTTTTCATTGGTTCTTGCTGTTAAAACACCTAATAGGAAAACGCCTAGTGTAGGGCCAGCTACAAGTCCGTAGACTATAGTAGAGGCCTGCAGTACATTTCCAAAGCTAGCCACGATATATGTAAGAAGAAGGCCAATGGTTCCGTAACACAGAGCTGTAAATATAACAACATAAATTAGATAGATATAATATGCAGGAAATCAATAGAGTATTAAGTAGAAAGAAATGAGTATGTAGAAATGAAGGAAATAATTAGAATTTAAATTTTTGAAATTATTTTCTCCAATTAATAAAATTTTTTAATTACATTTAACATGTTAATTTACTCAGTTTATTAGGCGAATGATATTTTAAATTGAGTTGAATAATAATTGCTACAGCTCTTACAATTTACGAAAAAGAATATCTCTCTCTATATATATTTCTCTAATATGACTCCCTAAACTCCAATATTTCTATATCCATTAGCAACACTTTAATTAGTAGTAATTTAAGTTGAGTTGAATAGTTAGCTGTTCGTTAAGTATTCATTTAAAAGAATTTTGTATTATTATAGAAATAAAAACTTAATTACGGAGTAGTAATACAGATTCTATATATTATATATATATATATTCTAGGTGAGTCATCTTGACCATCAGTTAGTAGCAGGTGTTCCTTTGAAACACTCCTTACAATGCCTTTTGTTCGTTTTGGGGGGGGGGGATAGTCTTGTGGCAAGTTGGACTGGTCACCCCCTGGTCAAATTATTAGACGCACTGTAGTTTTTTAATAATTACATGTTTTGCACGAGTTTATATACAATACTTTTATATTTAACCATTCATGTGATGGGTTTTTATTTACGAGATTTTTTTATATACATCCTATTTGTAATTATTTTTAACGTATTGTATTGTCACTATGTTAACCAATTGATACACGAACATAAAAAAGTGCAAATTGGCTTCAGTCACGTTCTCGCGTGCGTCTGTTGCGGACGTGTTTCTGTGGCTTTATGCGCGTGATACTTTTTTCTGTGGCTTACGAAGATTGGAAGTTTCTGAAACTGGCGTACTATGCATGTAGAAAAAAAATTGAATCTGGGGACGAATTGGACCCTAAACGGAGCGGCAGAAACTTAAAGTGCTAAGAATATATTTATATATATAATGCGATGTTCAAGTTATGGCTCGAAAGGTGTGTGAGATAGTAACACAGTACATAATTTATCATTGAAAAGGGTTTTTTATTTTATTTCAAGACAAAGATGGAAATAACTTCAATACTTTTGTTTACTATGCTTAAATGAAGTAATTTTTTTTAATAATTTCAAAAACAGAAATAAGACTCACTAACTTATCATTTTAGCGACAAATGCAGTTCGTTCTTCACCTAATCCTTTCATGGCACAAACAGGCTTCATGAAATCCTCAACAGTTACAGTGGACAGGGAGTTTACCATTGAAGACATTGTGCTTAAAGCAGCGCTTAACATGCCACAAATACACAACCCAGCTACTCCAGGATATTGTCCCAAAGATATCATCGAAAAATAAGGCAACAGCTGAAAGAAAATTTAAATATAATATTTACTTAACTCACAATAAGCCATCCTCTTAACTTTCAAATGGCTCCATCTATAACTATAATGGTGGCGTACATGTAGAATCATGTGGATATGCGTTACTTCGACTTTCAAGCGCCGTCTTAAGGAAAACTAAGGAATAAGTATTTTTTTTTTCAAAAATGGGAGAAGAGGAAAATTGATGTAGAAAGTTGTAAAGCAATATCGACTTAGTGTGAAGAGACACCTTATGGACATTAATGCTATGAAAATGACATTAAAACCGCTTAACTTTTTGCGTCTTCTTGCGTGTAACAAGACAAAATGTTCTTCGAAAAATTAGAAAACAGATAGTTATCGTAAAATATCTTTATTTTCGATCATTAAACTTCCTCCGATCACTAAAGTCTTTGTACTCTTTGTTCTTCCTCAGAGTTAAAATTATTTGGTGCTTAAAAGAGCCTTACTAAATATTACATGATCAATTTACTGCTGCTGGACACTTTAAGTATAACTGAAGCCATTCAAAGTTAACAGGATGGTCCCAAACAATAGTGGAAACACTTTGTACATAAACGGAATGCCGTAAAAATGTAGACAATTACAGGAATTTAAAACTTGTGATACGTTGTTACAAAACTTTTAGATTTGCGAAAAATGCATCACAATTAGCTTACATGTAAGTTTGGCAAGTCTTAATCGCTAGAAAAGATGCAACTGAAAAACAAAAGATCAGTTTGGAAATTTCGGAATTCGAAATATTTAATACAAGCTAGTTTCTGCTTAGTTTTTAATAATATTGAATGCGAAAGTCTAAATAATGTTTGAATTTTGTTCAATCTTTCTTAGCATTTACGATTTGTTTAAAATATTTAACGCAGGTTTTGCTGTATTTTTTTCGTATTTGAATTGTTATAAAATATACAGAAATGTTACGCATCTTTCAAAACTAAACTCTAAAAAATATTAAAAAGGAGCTTTGGAGCTCAGGAACTGTTTTTTCCCCTGCAGCTGGAGCACTAAATAGTATTATGCTTCTGGGCTCCTCCAATTAAATTATATCCAACAGGTACTTGTAACGGTATTTCCGGTAAGTCAAGTTGTTGTGGAAAGACTATTTTCGGTATTAAAATACTTTTATAAACATATACGATCAAATGTTAAAGAATATTTATTAGATTCAATATTTTTTTTAAGACTGACATGCGAATTAGCTTAAATTTATATTCTCTGTGTGGGCTGATGATTCTGAAATAATTCTTTAAATGTTCTTTTTTATAATAAAAACTTTAAATTAAAACCCGAAATCCAAAACTGAGCATAAATCTATAATGAAAAATGTAGGAGCCGGAGTAAAGCATTAACTTATTATCTAGAGCAGTGTTTCCCAAAGTGTGGTACGCGTACCCCCAGGGGTACGGGAACAGTTTAGCGGGGGTACACGTTCTTATGCGACTTGCAATAAACGAAAATTTCAAAAACTTTTATTTAAAAACAAAGTTAGCCATGAAAATTTACGATTATGTATTTTTCTACAGGTTATTTTTTGCAGAGTTGACAGTTAATAATTAGTGGTGTCAACAGCCAGTCGTGATTTTTAACTTTTGTGCAATTTTTTTATAGTAAAAGTTTGTAATAAATTCTACTTATTTTGATTATTTTTATAAAATATAATTTTTATTCCTAACATAGAATACGGTTGGGATCTAAAAATTTTGTACCAAAAATGAAAAAGAAAGATATTTAAAAAAAATACATTTATTATTTTTTTTAGTGGTACACAGCGTCACGAAAAATGTAGTAAGGGTACACAAAAGTCATAAGTTTGGGAAACACTGATCTAGAGCCTTAAAAAAATTTCAGCTTTGGATATCTGAATTTTTTTTATATTTTTGAAAATGTTGCTTTTTTATAATTATGTTTAATTTTTCTGAACATTTATTGAATAAAATATTTGAATATACAAGTAGTTTCATTATACCCAACCTTGATGCATGTAATAAATAAAATACACACATTAATAGTGAAAAATTAATATATAAGGAACGAAACAGAAAAGCTATTGCAACTTGAACCACCACGGAGGAAGGGCACTAAAACCTATTTGATTGCGCGAGATAAGACATAGAAGTTTAAAACCGTTCATAAGAAACACTTTGAAAAAATAATCAGCCTTCACAAAACACTTAATCTCAAATTTTTCAATATATATATCTACACTTTAAAGTGGAAAATGGACTGTTCACTTGTTTTCCTTTAAACGCTTCCCTCAACATTATTTTAAAATTTTTAAAATTTATTAATTATTTTTAAAATTTTTTAAAATTTATTTTAAAATTATTTCTCTGAAAAATATGGTTAAATATTTATAAAAATTAAGAGTGGATTTTTCCTAATTTCTCAAAAACTTGAATTTTTACAGAAAGAGTGGAAATACCCCAGATGGCCTTAACCAGGAAAAGAGAAAATTCAATTCAAACAGGACCAGAGAAAATTCACTTAAAGCAGGACTGAAGATACTATCTGGCCAAAAGTATCCAGCTATAAGGGCTCGGTGAGTGCCAAGGCATATGTTAATGTAGTTCTCTTTCTGCACCAATGACAGTCTGCACATGTTTGACGAGATATCCCACCAGTTTTTATTGATGACATGTATGACGAGATTTTCTCCCAGTTTTTGATAGATGACATGTCTGACGAGATTTTCTACCAGCTTTTGATAGATGTCATGTCTGACGAGATTTTCTACCAGCTTTTGATAGATGACATGTCTGACGAGATTTTCTCCCAGTTTTTGATAGATGACATGTCTGACGAGATTTTCTACCAGTTTTTGATAGATGACATGTCTAACGAGCTTTTCTACCAGTTTTTGATAGATGACATGTCTGACGAGATTTTCTCCCAGTTTTTGATAGATGACATGTCTGACGAGATTTTCAACCAGTTTTTGATAGATGTCATGTCTGACGAGATTTTCCGCTAGTTTTTGATAGGAATTATTTTCCAGCCATTCATCACAGCTAATGTGAGTGCTCGCAGTGAGGATGGTCGATTCAGATTGTCTGGGTTCTATAATTCGACATAAAAGTGTTTTGCTTGACTTAGATCGGGGCTCAAAGATAGCTTCTACAGTGGTTGAACACTCATTCCGTCAAATCATGGATGTGCAAGACTCGATGCGTGAATGGAGTATTTATCCTGCTGGAAGAGAAATGGCTTTTCCAGAAATATTGGGATAGAAGTGGAAGAGCAGCACTGTTCGGATTATCAAAATACATCTCACAATTCTTGCTCCTAACCACAGGAATCCAAGGACCCAAGGAGAAGCATCCCCATACCAAGCTGTTTCTTCCACATCTTTAGGTGGATGTCTGGACACTTATAGCCAGATTGAGCAAAAATAATTATTTAAACTAATTGTTTATCAAAAATATTTTAGAATACAAAAATTCAATAGCAATTAAAAAGCATTACTTTAAAATGACATATAATCGTGATTATTACTTAAATACGGATAAAACAAAAGAACAGGGAAGAATAACTGTTTTAGTTTAACCCTTTTCGGTCGTAAATAAATTTTTATATAGTTGTCATAATGAATTAATTTTTGCTGTGTAAACAAAATATTCAGACTAATGAGAGAAAAAATTAGAAAGGAAAAACGGTATTACTTTTAAAGACAATTTGTAAAATATTATTTCGCAGTTATTCCAAAAGTCTATTGCCTTAGTTGAATGATCAAAATAGAATCAACATATTTCATTGCGGTAGTGCTGAATATAGAGTGTTATGATAAAAAAAAAAGCTTTGGTAGTATAAACATACGACCGCAAAGGGTTAAGATTTATTTATTTCAAAATATATAAAAAAAACTGACCTGATCAGGTTTGGTAATTTTATTATCCGCAGCTTGTGGATCACAGTGATAAAAATAAGCATACAAAACAAGGCCTGTGAAACAGTTAACAATATGAAAGACGAAAGTACAAGGGAGACTTGCAAATAAGGCCCTAAAACACAAAATGACTTTAAAAATCTGGAGATATTGGTACACTTAACCAAACCAAAAACTCCTTATCAAAAACTCCTTACCAGAACTCCTTAACAGAAGAAAACGTAGGTTCCTACGTTATTTCTTGCATAATCAACATTTATAATAATTTAAATCCCTCATCTACAGAATTAAAACAAACTCCTCTTGGCATAACACACTAATTACCTCATAAAACAATGATTGCATAAAACGGAAATTAGTAAAGGATACCAGTTTCAGTTTTTTAGCTGAAATCATTAAACTAATGACATAATTTGAGAAAAAAGCATTATACACTGAGGGTAAAAAAGTAATGGAACACCACTTAATATCGTATTGGGCCTCCGTTAGCTCTATGGCGCAGCAACTTGATTTGGTATGTCAACAAGTAGATGGAAGTCAAGTAATTGGACAAGTAGTTGAAAGTCTCTTGCAACAAGTAGTTGGAAGTCTCTTGCAGGAATATTCAGCCATGCAGACTCAATAGATGTTCATAATTGTGAAAGTGCTGTGGGTGCAGGATTTTGTGCACGAACTGACCTATCGATTATATCCTACAATGTTCAATGGGACTCATCTAGGTGACCAAATCATTCGCTGGAATTGTCCAGATTGTTCTTCAAAGCAGTCGTGAACAACTAAAGTCCAGTGACATGGTGCACTGTCATCCATAAAAATTCGATTGTTGTTTTGGTACATGAAGTCCATTAAGGGCAGTAAGTGGTCTCTAAGTGGGTGAACATAACAATTTCTCGTCACTGATCGGTGAAATCGAACCATAGGGGCCAATCCATGTCATAACAAATCAGCACACACCGTTATAAAACCACCACCAGATTGCATAATGCTTTGTCGACCACTTGGGGTAATGGCTTCTTGGGGTCTGCGCCACACTCAAAGTCTCCCATCAGCACTGACCAGCTGATATCCTGACTCATTTGACCAAGCTATAGTTTTTAGTCGACTTGGATTTAACCAATATGGTCACAAGCCCAGGGGAGGAGCTGGATGTGATGCCGTATTGTTAGAAAAGGCACTTGAGTCGGTCTTCTGCAGCCATATCCTATTACAGACAAATTTTGCCGCATTGATCTAACTGATTTGCAATTTCACGTAATGCTGCATTGATGTTTGCTGTTATTTCACTTAATGTTACTTGTCTGCTAGCAACGACAATTTTATGCTCACATCGGCGATCTCTGTCATTGAGCGCAAGCTGTCTGTTAATCTATGTAATCCACAGTGGGAGTTTATGCTTGAAATAAGGTATTCTTGGCATTGCAGATCTAGGAATATTGAATTCCCTCTTAATTTCTGAAATGGAATGTCCCATGAGTCTAGCTTCAACTACCAATCTACGCTCAAAGTCTTAATTCTCATCTTGCTGTTATAATTACATCAGAAACATTCTCATACGAATAACTTTAATACAAAAGTACTGCCAGTGCACTAACCATACATACATTTTATTTTACTTACGATTTTACTACTTAATGAATATATGAATATCGCTATCCCAGGATTTTGTCACCTCAGTGCATATTTTAATGTCCTATTTTTTTTAAAATTGAACATTTAGCAGTCAATAATTTTTTCTATGTATTCTACTTTAGAGTTTTGCACAGTTTCACAATGATTTATTGATTCTCTGAAAAATGTTTAGAATTTTTATAATGTACAAGTTAGAATCATTATATTGAACAAGTTAGAATTTTTATAATAAACAAAGCATGATTACCCTACCAATTGTATTGTAACTTAAAAACAGAACGTAATTTGAAAAAAAAAATTTTTTTTTGAGGTGAGAGTACAACCTAAAAAGTTGAGCCCACTGCTCAAAAATCTTAACAAAAATGATGAAAAAAATTTAATAATAAAAATTTACTGTACTTGGACAAACCACTAGGCAGCATGCATTATAGTTGCAACCCTTACAATATATTTTTAGAATCATTATCAAAAATAAAATGAAAAAAGTGTATACAAAACGAGGAAAAAAAACCCAGTAAATCTCGTATAAATTTTGATCTAATGATTGGATCTTCAATTTCTATGACTTAATCTTAATGTTTCGAGCAGGTGACATAAATATGCTAATTAATTAGTGCAGACTGTATTAAGTTATAAAAATACTGAGAAATCGAATTTTAAATATACGACTTTTTCAAAATTCGATTTCCCCTAATTAAATAGCACATTTAGGGCCAGCCCGTTATACGATTAGTCCAAGAATGTGAAGATCGGATCATTAGATCAAGAGTTATTCTGGGTGGCCCATTTCTTTCCGCACTGTTCGTTAAGGATCACATCTAAATCCCTTGATGGAGATAGTAGAAAAAAGATTTTTAAAATCTCAAGAAAATAGAAAATCTATGATTTGAAACACCAAGTTTAAAGCGAGTTTCCAGTTTAAAGTAAATGCTTTGAAATTAAATTACTTTTTAAATGAACAAAAATAAGCATATTTAAACTTAAAATACCAGATAACTGTTTAAGTTTTATATTTAAGTTAGCGTTTGCTTTTACTTCAACTTTTAAACTTTTAAAATACCTAGGGAGATTTTTAAGTTTAGTAATTTTTTAGTTAGTACATAATTTTTTTAGATTTCTGGCAATCAAAACTGTAACCATGTTCCGACTAATGAGAGTGATTAAATCTTAATAGGAGTTCTGAAACAATACAAATTTTAATCTTTTCATAGGTAGAATTTATCATTTCTATCAACATTCTAATGAGTATTTCTATCAATTTCCAAGTAGCAGAAGATATCAACTTCAACAGGAAATGTTTAAAAATTTAACGTCAAATAAAATTTATTACTAACACCAATAAAAATGTCCACCTTTTTCAGCCAAGCTAGGGTGTTTAAACTTCTGCTGGAGTTCCATGCTGGGTAATAATACACATTTGATTTGGATCGATTCCATTCCTATCAACTTTAGTACCTGAGTTCTTCTTTTTTTTTTTTGCTATGAAAAACTAGCACACACAAATTTAATTGAAGAAAATAATATTAAAAAAGTTATAAAAAGCCGCGTTTTTCAAAAGGAAAACATTGGTCACACATAAAAATATAAAACGTACCTCCCTTTCGTGATGAGCTTATATCACCACCGAAAAATGTTGCTACGATTACCGACAGTGATGCGCCCTATTATTTATCTCACAGGCATTTCAAAATTATGATTACTTTCCTTTCTTAAATATTCTTGATAAACGTGCTTTTAAAAATATTCTTTTTCACATTTGTTAGTTTTAATGGATAGATAAATACTTATTAAAAAGAAACTTTTTTCATAACAATACTAATAGTGAATTCTTTAAGAGGTTTATAATATATTTTTATTCTTTTTTTACGCTTTCTTAAACAAAAAAGCAAAAAAAAAAGAAAAATCTAGTAGTAAAGATACAAGATAGAACTATAACTAAATTTCAATCTAATATAATGGAGTTTCCCTAAACTATATAGTGGTTGTTTATTACGAAAGGATGTGCGATTCTAAAGGATTCAAGTTTAAGTTTTGATAGAAGTATTTTATATCATTATTTAAAATTAAAAAAATAAAAACAATAAAGTTACTTAAATCATATTTTGTTGATGTATACTGCATGGAATTAAAAAAAAGGTAACACCTGAATAATTTTTTCGAGAGATTGATCTAAAATATGTAGATTAATTTGTGCAGACGTAAATTTAAGTTATGAAATCAGGTCCAAATTTTTTATTTTTATGAATCAACATGAATTTTTTTTCGATTGATTCCGATTCTTGCCACTAAAAATAAGAGGGCAATCTGTAGGATAACATTCGAAAAATAACTAAAGTTTCAAAAAAAGTTATCTTTGCATGTTAATTTCACTTTTTACATACTTTGCCACATCTCTAGAGTAATTTAAGTCTTTAAAAAAATCTTGTGCACAGTGATTAAAATGATTTTTCCAAAGACAAATAAAAAAATTATTGATACATTTTACATTTTATTATCAATTTCAACTTTAAGAAGAAAAAAATGAAGAGTAAGATATAATTGTTGTACCTGATTTTAAACTATGTAATTTAAAATTACAAGTGACACAAGCCTAATCCACTTTTCTCAGAAACTATTCAGCAAATTCGTTAAACATTTGGATTTTTTTAAATCTAAAATGATGTATTTTTGCATACCTTACAATAAATTTTGTTTGACCATTTGTAAACAAAATAATAAAAATAGTAATAATTATTAATTATCTTTTTTTTTACTCGGCAGGAGACATTACTATATTTTAGGAAAACGAATTCATGATTGTGTGCTAAAATGTTTTGATACGCCTAAATATTTTCAAAGGTATAACAACATATGTAAAAAGTTAGAACAAATTCGTTCTCCTCTCTTAAACTTATCAAGACCAAATTTTCTAGATTACTATTAACACCCACATTCTGCTTTCAAAGTACGTAATCTATATAGAAAAATACACATTTATTCAGAAAAAATTGGTTTCTGTGTTCGATTCTGTAACAAAAAAAATCGCCTGCACAAATGCATCCTGCAAACCATTAAAATCGCCTGTTAGTACTTTAAAATTCATTAATTAGGTCGTAAATTATTAAGGTGTTCCTTTATCTGCTTACTGTTCGCAGAACAAAAATTATATTATCTTTAAAATATTGCTTACCATTGAGCCTTTTTTAATGTGCTAACTGTGAGCAACCTTTGTACTTGCATCTGGCTTGCCCCGTATGCAGACAAAGTGGTGACAAAACCATAAATGAAAATGTTGAAGAATGTGTACCGAGTTGTGAAGTCAATGAAAAATCTAAAAAACAAGAAAATATTTTAATTTTTTTTACAACTAAACATATTATAAAAGATATTGCATTGTTAATTTATTAAATTAGATGGCAGCTCTTGGGCAAACGAAAGAGTATTTCTATCAAAATGAATATTTTTTAAACAATTAACTTTTATAAAGGAAAGAATTGGGACTGATAGTGATAAGCCAGACTTTCGTTAAACGCGATATATAAGTATACTAACAGCCGACCAGTCTGTGTAGGGGGCAGGGAACTGTCCTTGCATTAGAAAGGTTCTGGGTTCGAATCCCGGGCAAGGCATGGATGTTTCTTTCCCTCTATCTGTGTTCTATGTCCTTTCTCCTTTGTGTGTGAATGTGTGAATGTGACCCGCCCTATAAACGGGTTGTGGTAGTGTGACGTGGGCGACGCTGTTCCACCGCCGTGGCTTCGCCACAGGTGCCCACTGGGTAACGAAAAGAGAATTAGCAGTTCTGGCACTTTCTGTGGCCAATGGACAATAGCTCCAAGTGCCCGCCATTAAAAAAAAAAAAAGTATACTAACACTTTCTTAAACATTGTTGCCATTTGGGAATTTTATAAGTTTCTAGAATCCTTACTAGATGACAGCACAAGTCATGGAGCATCTTATTGCCTGCATTGAATTTTTGTCAAGCTAAATTGCTCTTTAAACAATTTGTGAAGTTGCTTTGATGCATCAGGATTTTTAACGGCTGAATGAGATTTAATATTTTTTTTAAAACTAACGTGTGTCAAAATTGTCAACTTCTTTGATAACAATTAAGAGCACACTTTGGAGACAAATGAATTTTCCTTTTACAAAATCAAATTGGAATAAATGAGTTAAATGATTGGAAAGCAGTTTAGAGTTAATGACCCGGCAGTCTGAATAAGATATTATACACGAAATTCAAACAGCTTTACGTGCTCTAATTAAGCTAATCAATCCGTACTAAAAATTAAGTGACAAAAAGAAGAAAAAAAAATAGAGAAAATTACTCACGCACCTCAGGGTCATAACCCTTATCAAAAAAAGAATAGGATATAATTTGTGATCTGTAGACTAAAGCGAAAAAACGTGAATAAAGCTTTATATATGATATGTTTAAAAGCTTTATATATGACTTCTAGACAAAAAATTTCATTTTTAATGACAGTCTTAGTCTCTTCTTTTTAGAAATATACAAAACTAAGAACGTTATATAGAACAGGGGAGCACGTAAATGTTGCGACGACAAATGTCTAGGAGAGTTAGGCATATCACCAGGATCCTATTTTCGAAAATGTCGTCATAAGTCACTAGGGGTGATTCCCTGTTATTAACTGTTTCTTCGTATGCTTCTGAACAGATCATAATAGAGAAGAGCCCCTAGCCGTGTATGACGACAGTTCCAGTCATAAATGTCTATGCAATTTTAATCCTAATGATGTCTTATAATTCCCAAAGAAGTTTGTCGCAACATTTACACCATCCCTTGTAACGTATAACGTCCTTAAACTTTTAAATTTCATAAAAAAAATTTAAAAAAATAGATGAAAAATGTCATTTTAAAATATATTTAGCATTAAGATTAAAACTAATTTCATATTTAAAATCACTACATCCATATTAGGCAAATTTAAATATCTGTATAAATGCAACGAAAAAATTGTTCCCCAGTGAGAAAAAAAAAAGTTAAATGTGGCATTAAATCTTTTTCGGCAAAAGAAAAAATTATTTTAATCTCTAAATAATAAATAAATTTTAATAGTTATTTTAACTACTAAAGAATTTATAGTAATACCCTGGTACAAGAAGCCTTCCGCCTTCAATTGATCTTGATATAACAGTTTGAAATCCTCCAACATCAGAACTACCTTTAATTACCATAATTATCATACCACCATACATTAGAGTAGCTTGGAAGACATCCGTCCAAAGAACAGCTTTCATACCACCCTGAAACAAACGAGTTTTTTTTTCAAGAGTTCAATTTTTAAACATGAAAATAATACGCAAAAAGAACACAGGGTGTTCCGTATTGACCACTCTTAAAATTGACTAATTAATATTAAAATTGACACACTGACCATAGGTTCTAAATCGAAACTAAAATTGAAAAACTCTAAATGCTTAAACATAATCAGGAGAATGGAAAGTGATATCGAAATGTAGCAAATCGCAAGTTGGGAATGGGAGATTGAAGACATCGCTGTAATAAACAGAAAGGACTTGAAAGGCGATTATAGAACAAGCAAGCTTATCAAACGAACGATTATAGAACAAGTATCAAACGAAATTTTTATAATTTTTTATCTCGCCTTTATCACTAGTGATTCAACAAAATTCGTTATTTGAGCCATTGTGACTCATGGGATAGAGGGTGTGCCTTAAAATGAGTTATCCAGGCACGAAACACAAAGATGGCAGATTAATACGAATTCTACTCTCGGTTTGCACCAACCACAGTGCTGACGTAAAATATCATCAGTTCAAGACGGATAATTGGTTAGAATCCCCTTTCCGTCTGGTTAACCGTAAGAGGTATTTGTGCATTTCTTCTCCAAACAACGCAAATGCGAGTTAATTCCATCATAGAGTCCTCCAAGAAGACTAGTTTGGCCTAAAGCTTGATCCAGAAGTTCACTTGCCTTCTAGATTGGGTTTAAAATTACAAAACTACAAGTTTAACATTTGTAGTCGTAAACTCAGACTTGAGTCGCTGTTCAACGCCGGTTATAAAATGAAATATAACGCAAAATAAAATTTCATTATCGAAGGCGTGGTGGCTCAGAGGATAGAGCATTCATCTTTCAATGTGGTGTCCGGGCAACGAATATACATAGGGAAAGTCTAGCTTTCAATGACATAATGTAAACCAGTCCCCCAACGTTAGGTGTGGTCCCTAAGTATAAAGGAAAAAATAACATTTGGGGGCACAACAGCAGAGTTTCTTAAAACAGGTTTGCACCCTCCTCTCCTCCTAACCATTGCAGGTATTGGAGAAACATTAGGGTGAGGGAGAAAAGTTTTCTGTTTTTATCCTCCGTTTGTTCTGCATTTTCTGTATATTGATAAACAGTACTGTACTATTAATTAAGATATTTCTTTGAGAATACATTAATATTATCGAACATATTTTGACATAGAGAAAAGAATAAAATGGCGTTGGCGAGAAGCAGCCTACCCAACCAACGACCATGTAGCTTGTAGAGTTGTCTAACCACCGGTTCACTGGTGATGTATAGTTTGTCTAAGGTAAGAACACTCCTAGCCATTCGTCTAGACCCGTGGAGATGGCTATAACGAGGTATAACTCTTTCAAGTAGGGTTGCGGGGTCACTGTTGCGGACAGGTCTTGGCTCGGATCAACAAGAGAAATTGGATATTTTTCTTCGGTCTGTTGTATTAGGCCTAGGGTGAAGAGAAGCTACCCTCCCTTAAATGAGCAATTCTTGCTTCCATAGAAGCAGGCGACCTCTGACTTTGTGGCGGGGGGAGTTCTGACCGTAGACAAACTGTACCTCCTGACTGTCACTTTGCTTACTATGCGCATGCACTGGATCTTAGTTTAAATGACGCTTTGCTAAATCTGAGTATGTTTCTCACTCTGTAAGTTGTATTTCTGGTATTGCGTACCGAACCGAGCGATTCCCCGCTTTAGTTTCATATTCGAACAGCTGGACTTCTTCTTTTCTCTACATTCCTTGATCGGGGTTCGAATCCCAGGTGTGGTTGATTGATACGAATTCTGCTCCCGACTCGGACAGACTACGGTGAAGTAAAATATATTCAGTGGTAGACGGGTCATGGGTTAGAATCCCATTGTTTTAGGGTTAACTGTAGAAGGTTTACGCGGTTTTCCTCTCCATGTAAAGCTAATTCGGATTAGTTTCTTCAAAACGTCCTCAATGAAGGTCAGTTTGTCCCAATGCTAGACGCAGGAGAAGTTCTTTAGTCTTCTGGCTGAGTTTAAAACTGCAAGGCTACAGAGTTGAACATTAATAGTCGTAGACACAGAATTGGTACGGTTGTTCGGCGCCGGTTATAAAAGAAAATTTCATCATCGTTGTTCCTTCCTTGCTTAAATATCAATTTGCTGTATACTTTATTTTTAAATTTTATTTTGAAAGATTATGAAGATTCTATTAAATTTTTGACTCACCAGGGTACAATAAAATGTGCATACGACTCCAACAGAAATAACAGATGTCCATATTGAAAGACTAGTAACAGCACTTAAGGCTAGGGCAGGAGCATATAAAACAACGGCAATATATAAAATCTGAAATGATATTTTTTAAAAAAAATTAGCTTTGCAGCGTAAAAATTCGCTTTTAAATCTTACTAATCATCTTTTGTTAAATTAAATGAATTGCTTTAACATGTACAGTGAGCAAAATAAAAAAGCAAACTCCCTGAATAACTTTTGACTTAATAATTCGACTTAATATTGCTCGAAAGCCAAACCTTAAATGTACTTTGAATAAAGAAATCAGTAACAAAAATTAATTTCTCTGAAAAAACATAATTTTTTTAGTATGCTTAGTCTTTGAATCAAAGGTTATTTAGGGGTGTCTGCTGTTCTATTTCCTGCACGTATATATATATATATATATATATATATACGTGCAGGAAATAGAACAGCAGACACCCCTAAATAACCTTTGATTCAAAGACTAAGCATACTAAAAAANATATATTTAAAACATTAAAAGGGCATGCATTATTTTATTATTTTGATTGTTTATGACATAGGCATACAAAAAATGTTTTTTTTAAAAAAGAGAGAAAAAAAGTACCACCTTTAATAACTGAAAATATTTTTCAAAACTAAAATCCTTTGCTTATTGAATGAGAAATTTTGTCTAAGAAATGTTTGAAGCGTACCTAAATTTAAACACGGATTTTGCTTCTTTCTTATTTTTTTTTTTTTTTAAATTAGCAAATCAAGATATAAATTTTATAAATAAAATTTTTTAATGATTTATTTTTTTCCTGTAATTTTAAATTAAAACTATATTGGATTCATTTATAAAAATATAATATTCTGCAATAAAATGTTTTTATATACGGAATACCTAGTTAATTCGACAGTTAGACCTACCATAAAGACTTGCTTGTGTTTATATGTCTATTACATTACTGTATTATAAAATAATGGGTAAAATAAGCTCTGATTAGTTGTACTTTAATTACGTATAACCTGCACAGAGCGCAAAATAAAATGAAATAAAAAGTTTTTCTAAGAAACTGAACAAAATAACTTTTGTTCTAATGATCAAACTTTCACGAACTAAGAGGTAAATCAAGATGGTTGCTAAAAATGATTTCAAATATGGAATTGGATCAGTTCTAACCTAACTATAAATTTTAATACAGAATAAAGCACAAAATTGCATTTTCTATGAATAAATATACCTTTTATTCGACAGATTTCAATAAGATTGCAATATTGAAAATATGGTTCACTGCAAAATTTGCGGTAATTGAAATAACCATAATGTTCCTAAACTTTCTACAGTTCTCCTTCAGTCCTCCTTGTTGGGTTCATATTTTCCGAATTACGGATTTTGATCCGGATTTTAACAATCAAACATCCGTTGAGAAAAAGGTATGTTTATTCACCATAAGAAAGTTTCCGCATCTGTTTTTGTAACTTACTTAACAGTTGTCACTAGCTATAGCTGAAATATTTGGGGGACAATCTTTTGAAGATTTAAGATAAACAGTTTGTGAAAATCTGATAATTAGAGCAAAAATTATTTAATGACATATCTTTGGATATTTTTAGGGATTAAATTTTAAAAATTTTAATTAGAAAAAATTATAACTAACATAGTTATCATTTATAGATGCAATCGTAAAATTGTAAAGGAAAAACCACTTACTGCTTGAATAGAAAAGCTTAACGAGCATATAATCCTTAATACTCTTCCAAATCGTTTCTCCAGATACTGAAAATAAAATATAAGTATTAAAGAAAACATTGTAAATTAGAATTCTGAGAAGAAAGCATTTAGCATTATTCTTTTATTTTTTGTTTTCGGGTCAAATTGGTTTTTGACATGTCAAGTGTTTCGTCAAAACTGGCTTTTGACTTCGATTTTGACTTGACAAGGATGGAAATCCTAGGATATGATAGTCAAGGATTCAAAATGCATGTGAATTTTTGTACAGTTTATTTGAAACGTTAAATCAATATGCAAATATGTAGAAAAGTATAGTCAAACTGTTGTTTCTGTATTTATATTTCGAAATATTTCGTTATTTTTAATTGTGATTTGCAAGGTAGTTATTCCTCCTTTGCAAGTTTGACTTATTACTGTATAAACATCAGGTTATAATATCGGATTAAATTATAAGTTATGCAGAATCATCTAAAGAAAAAAAAATTCATGAAATCTTATTATAGTAAAGTAGAAAAAGGTGGAATGCAGTAATCTAACTTTTTAACTTAAAATCATATAGGTTCATAATTTTTAAAGGAATTTTTTTCTAACATCTGTTAAATTGTAAAAGAAGATATATCTAATATCTTCTAGATATCTAACAGTTCTCGCATATATTAAGTTGTATATTTCTGTAAGAAGTTAATTATATTTTACTTTATATAAAACTTGAAATTACTATTTAAAATGTGAATAATATAGAAATATCAATAAAAGAAATCCCCTTTTTCGACTTTGAACAAAGAGTTTTCGACTTGTTTGTTTTATCCAAGGTTAAAATATTTTAAGAGATGGAAGACAAAAATTTGCTAATTCTGTTCTATAACAAGTCATTGTACTTAACAAGTTTTTATACAATACCGGTAATTTTTTTGATGACTGTATTTACAGTAATTGTATTTACAGAAACTGTAATTAATAAGCAGTTATCTTAAAATTAATTATTTCATATTTTTAGTATGTACGGAAATGCCTGGTAATGTGATTATTTATATAGGGTAAATTACCGTGCAGTCCAATCAGTTAAAAAAAACTTTTGAATACCGTATATTATGTAAGCATATTTATTACGTAAGCATTTTTTTGGCCTTTTTTATACACCTCTTCATTGTCAGTTAAAGACAAAAAATCGCGAACCAAAACACGCCTTTAATTAAAGGAAATTTAATAAAATAGAAGCTTGGACATTTTTCTCAAACAATCACATAAATAAAATTGATTAAAATTTTATGTGATTGATTGATTTATCTATTAAGTTAAAAAAATACATATTAGTATTTATTAAAATAGATTTTAAGATGATTTTCATTTTTTTGATGATAAAATATTTCAGTCGAATATGTCTTCACCTGATTTTATGCAACCAAACAATGTAACTGCAGAAAATAATAGTGGGAACTATGAAGAGAATTGATTTTATGGAGAATTAAACTAAAATCCCTCTTACGTGAAAAAAAAAGTAAAGCAATGATTTCACGAAGTACAAATTTAATTAAATGAGCGTATTTTTCATGATAAAGAAGTATTTATTGTTAAAGAAAAAAACAATTATTGATGTCTAAAATACATACAATTTTGTAAAACAAAATCATAACATTTAATTTCACGAATATCAAGGTAATTATGAATTTTCGTTATTCTCTCTGATTTATAAAATCCCGGTTACTTCGGGCTAAAAGTGCCATTGGTATTTATCAACTCACCTTATTCATAAATGCAAGCAATAAAACGAGTTGACGTCACAAAAAATTATTTAATAAAAAAGAAAAGATGCAAAGCAATACTTGTCATACCTGGAATGGAAAATTTTAAAAAAGCTCATTTTTCACGAATTAATGTACCTTTTATTAATTTTAAAAGGTTAACTTGCGTAACACAATCATAAAATGAACAGATTTATTTGAATAACAACAGCGTCGTGCCTCATGCAAAAAGAAAATTGATTTTTTCCCCTGTAATTTGAATAAGTTATTCCCTAAAGAGGAAATAAATTGGGAGACAGATATGAGACCAGAATTTCTCATTCAGAAGGAAAAAAATGAAGAGTAACTGTCATCGTTTGCGAAACTACAACCACTCTCAAAGAAAACTAAAAGCAATTATTTATATAACTGTGAGATACAAGCTCAATTGAATTAATTTCATTACTTCGTAAATGAAAAACCAACTATCATCAGAATAAATAAAATTTATCTGAGGCTTAAATACTTCGCAATGCACCCTAATTAACAGCCAATAAATTAAGAAAAACACCACTGCAGGTTTTTTTTATTAAAAAAACAAGTATTTTTTAAAAATTTAAAGAAACATTAATTAGTGAGAAAAATAACAGTCTTGATTTCATAAGCATTTCATAAGCAGAAATTCAGACAGGTCTTGAATTTCATAAGCGGATTAATTCCCACAGAGTGTTTTCTTTTCCTCCACTTGCTTTTGAAGTTGATTCTTGACCTGTGACTGTGAGTTTTTAATTTTCTGATGATTTTTATTGATTTTCTTTTAGTAATTTGTTTATTCTTTTGAATGTATCTTGTTTTTCCTGGACCTCTATGCAAAACCATCGGGGTACTGAGGGAGATATTTTAAGCTTTTGCTTCTCCCTCAAATAGAAATGGTTTTGTTTTTAATGGCTACCGGGGCCGGTACCCCCTGAAGACGTCGGCTTCGGTGGTCATATTTTTATTTTTATTTGTTTCTTGTATGAGAAAAATAACCTCATTTTCAGATTTTGAAATGTGTTCATAAAAAGAGATAAATAAACACAACTTCGTTCAACTTATAATTTTAACTTATGTTCAAGTTTTTTTTTAATATTTTGTATAATATAATAGATTGTCAGATATCGAAAGACAGTGAAGCAATTTAAAACTTTTAAATTGGTTTTGTCCTTAAAATGCTAAATGTTTTGAAAATAATTGGATGCTTCTTTTAACCCTTTAAACTCTCATAATTTTAAAAAAGAAGACAGTAATGAAATTGTTTTTGTAGTGAAAATTTATCTTTTTCTACTTCTCGAACTTCAGCGTCTCTTCCTCATCTAAAAATAAATCAGTCTGATCTGAGTCCTAATTCTTTTTCTCTCTTGTTTTCTAACGTTAGTTTTTTAGAAAAAAACTTCCAAGTTCATATATTCTCTCTAAGAGTTATCGTCGGTAAACGTTAATTTTTTGAATATAACTTAAATGAACGTTTAAGAAAATGAACATAAATGGACATAGCTTAACCCTTTGATGCAGATGGGACACCGGTGTCCATTTTATATATTTTTTTCTGGAGCTCCAAATACAAACAAAATTTTATTTTGGTGTTTTTAAATATAAAATATTTTAGATTATCTGAATTGAATTCGTACTTAGTACGAATCCAAATCCAAAATCCAAACGTAAACGTAATCCAAAAAAAGAGTAGTTCGAAAAAAAAACTTTTTTCTCTTTAGATACAAATATTTACTAATAATTGATTTTGTAAATTAGAAATAAACAAAGATGAATAACTGTTTTTCTTTCATTTAAATGTGCTTTTCGTCGGCGTTTCATGCTGTATTTCAAAACCATAAGTCATTAAAATGCTAAATATAATATTTTTCACTTATTTTCACCTAAACTAGTACAAAATATTTAAAAACTATGAAAAATAAGTTTAGTAAAAGTTTTGCTCAAAGGGATAACAAGAGCATGTGAAAAATAAAGCTGTGGATCAAAAGGTGAGTTAAAGAAAATAAACAAAACTTTAAACGCACGTGTGAAAAATGGGTACAGTTTAAAGTGTGTGTGTGAATATAAACGATTCGGCAAATCAATAGTTAATGAGTCAATAACTTTACACGTTTACATCTCTTTCACTCTTAAAATTTAAACCCAAATTTTTTACACCTACTGTTACTCTATAAAAAAATGTGTACCTAATTACTGTGAAAATTCCCCTAAATTTTTTAAATGCGGCGAATGATAATCATTTACTGATCAATTATTCTTTGTTTCTTACCAAACGGACAATCATAAAACTTTTTCATCAAACGCATCATCTGATTATAAATACAAAATTATTATTATGGTTTCTTATAATCGGAAAAAAAATTCATAACAATTTTAATTTCGATATTTGCTAAGACATTTAGTTTGCTATACACGTGTAAGAGAAATTAATTACTCTACACGTAGAATAATTGCTCGAATTAAACAAATGAGCCTAAGGAACTAATCAATAAATGAAGAAAATCAATAAGCAGAAAATCACAAAAGCAAACTATTAGTAAATCTATGAATTATTAAATAAATGAATGAACTTTTGACCATGTCAACGAATTAATTAATGAGCGAATTAATATATTGGAAAATGAGTAAAGAAATGAATAAGTGAATCAATTCAAAAGTTTACTCAAGGAATTAGTGAATATATCAGGTAAACAATAAATTAGTGAATTAGTGGATTCACGAATAGATAAACGACTACAGTATAAACGATTCGATGAATAAATAGTTAATGAGTCAATGATTCTACACGTTTAACTGATATATTCACTAATTACTCTGCACGTGCGAGAGTAGTTACTCGAATTAAACAAATGTGTCTAAGGAACGGATCAGGGAATGAAGAAAATCAATAATCAAAGAATCCCAGAATGAAATAATTTGTAATTTGATGCATCAGTGAATCAATTAATGAACACATGATCATGCTAACGAATCAATTAATGATCGAATGGATATTTTGGCAAATGCTTAAAGTGAGTCAGAGAATAAATTAAAAATTTATCAAGGAATGACCTAAGGTATAAATGAGTAAATGAATTGATCAGAACAAAATATTAACAAATTAACAAAATATTAAAAATTAACAAAAATATAAATGAACGCATAAGCAGATCAAAGATTTGGCTAATCAAAAGTTAATGAGTCAATAAATAAAAGATTGACTAAGGGAATTGATGAATGAAATCGGCGAATTTAATAAGAAGGAGAAAATTAAAGCTACTGAATAAATTTATCGTCAAACAATTTATGTTCTCTATCAATAAAGTTTTGAATCAATAAATTTGTTAATCAAGGAATAAAATTCAAAGAATAAACAAACCAGAAAATCAGCAAATCAAAGAAAAGAGAATAAACGAAGAAACCAATCAGATCGCCAACAAATCAATAAATCAGTGAATAAGCAAATCATAAAAGCAGTAAGTCAACAGATCATAATTCCTTACCCTGCGGTTCCGTTTATTTGTTTATTAGTTGCCTGGGTTAAGAATTTATTGTTGATATGATATCACACTTATTTATTTGCTATTTATCAAATCATTTACCCGTCTATTTGCGATTCACTATATTTCCAATCATGAAACTTTTCAGTCAGATATTGGATTACTAGTATATTAATTCCCTCACTGATTTGTTGATTTTTGTAATATTTTATTAATATTTTTAATTTGTTAATTCTTTGACTCATTCATTGAATCGCTTATTTGTTATTTTCTAGACCAACAATTCTTGTATTTTCTTTCCCTTTAACTTGAAAAAAATTACTTAAAATAAATTTATTTTTATTTTTAACAAGTTTTATGCCTTCGACTACTGAAATTTAACATTCGTTTTGATTTTCTATGTTTCAGAACAATCAGATTAAAATTTCAATAAAATGGTTTATTTGCCAATTTTTTTCTTATCGAATTATTTAAGGAAATACGGCGGTAAAAATCAACAAAAAATAGTCTTAACTAGTATTATAATTAATCTAATGTTAAAAAAGAAGCGAAGCATCCAGCGAAATCTTTCAATATTAAATAAATAAATATATTAATTTATGAATAATTTAATAAAATCTGAATGAATAAATATGGATTCCAAAGAATTCAATTTAATTTACTAAAAAGAATACTAAACAAATAAAGTTTAAAATAAAATTTAATAAATATATTGCAAAAAAAAAATAATTTTACGAAATTCAAGAAAGTTAACTTCGATGCAAGTTCTGTTTAAGAAAATAGAAAAAAAAATTATAATTAAATCATTCTTAATATAAAATCTATTTTCAGAACTATTCAAGTATAAATTAATTAAAATATCTGAGATGAATTCAATGAAGCTTAAATTTAATTTATTTAGTATGATTCAAAAAGAAAATCACATACGCAAGTTTCAATTTACTACACAGGATATTTTTTATCATACAAGAACAATTTAATTGCTCGTATTTAAAAATTTAAAATAATAAAGTGCATTCTTACCTCGTATGTTGTGCTTGCATTTGTACAAAAAAACACAGGCAGAAACAAAAATCCAGCAGCAAGAGCACCAGCTGTGTTTCCTAATATTATAAAGGCAAAATGTGTTCCATATACATACATATCAGATGGTACACCAAGGTACGTGATTGCTGAGTTTCCACTGGCCATTATAGAGAATGCAACTGGAAATACAGACATTGTCCGGCCAGCAAGAAAAAATTCCTGAGTAGTTTTTTGTTTACCTCCAGAAAATCGGAAATACAGTCCGATTCCCGAAGATATCAACAACATCACAACAATAACAAAATAGTCCACGTTGCCAAGAGTAAGCTGTTGTTGGCTGGCTAGAGTTGTATTGCTCAATAACATTGTTTCATTCATGTTTTTACAGTTCCCGTTAAAAATAATTCAGACAATCAAGTTCAGTGAACTAATTCAAAAATCAAAAATTTTTTATTCACGTAATGTTTCCTTAATAAGCAATTCTTTGCTAATATTATACTGCGTTTAAATCAACACTTTCTCTTCGAATAGCGAAGTGACAAACTACAACTGAAGTCTCAGTTTAAAAAAATAAATAAACAATCAGCACTTAAATATAATAATTTTACAACCTTGATGCGAATACACAATCTCAATAGTTCGAAAATAAGGCTAATGAGTAATTACAAGTAATATTGCATCATTTTGAAGGAAAAATAAATTCCTAAAAACAATTAAACTAAATGTTTATTATTTTTTTAGTAAAATTTTCCGAAATACAATAACAATTTATGACAGAACTTACTTCAGAATATGCAAGCGATATATTTCTTAGAAAAAAATAAACTTGGAATATAGAATCGTTTTCAATTTAGTCGAAGTATATATCTGCGAAATCCTAGAACTTGTACACCTGAAGATCGTCTGATACAATGTTATGAAAGCAAACGTTTTATTTCCCCCCAATCGAAGTGGTTATATAACAAACCGACGCTAAGCAGGGTACCACTTATGGATTACCTGCGCAATCAGAGACCCTCCGGACTCTATTCCACGGCGGGAAAAGGAGCGAATACTGAATGTGCCGCACATGCGCCTGAGGTAAAAGACGCCGGAATTTCGTAGTGAGGGGAGGGAAAGATGAGTAAAATAAGGGAGTTGTAATTATGAGGCGCCAGTAATAAATTTTCTTCTTATATTATCTATTTTTGTTCGTGTATTTGTTTTCTAAACTGGGATGGAAGTTATATTAAACTCGTAATGCAGGTCGTAGGAAGCTTATGTAATGATTATCAATGATATGATAAACTCTATTCTATTTTATTTTTAGTTCCATAATTTCGCGTGATTATTAGAAGATAAAATATTGTTAAAATAAAGTAAAATTTAATAATATTTATTATATTTACCAAATGTTGAAGATTTTTTAAAAAATATCTTCTATTATCAATTTAAAAAAAAAAACTTTAATAAAATGCGAAGCTCAATTATTTTGTCAAATTTAATTTAATTTTATTTATTTTACTTTATTTATTTAATTTTATTCATTTATTTTATTTGTTTATTTACTTTATTTGTTTATTTATTTTATTTATTTATTTTATTTATTTATCTTATTTATTTATTTTATTTATTTATTTTATTTATTTATTTATGATACCATGTAATGGTATGCATGACTCCATGGCCTTGTAATTTTGAACTCAACCCATAAAGGGAACTCCTGGATCAAATATTTAGACAAACTTGTCTTGGTGGATAACTTTTTGTTGGTTTGCGTTAAGAGGAGAGTGAAACCATGAAAACCTCCCAAGGTTACCCCGTGGCTAAGAGATTCTAATCCTTGATCAGTCTACCAATGAGGATATTTTACGTCAGTACGGTGATCATGACAACCTGGAGCAGAATTAGTATCGACCAGTAAAAATGGATTCAAAGTTTTAGTATTCGTCCGTAATTCGATGCCATCTTCGTGAAAATGCTTGGAGATTATACCCTTCTTCGCCCTCTTGGTCTGACTCTGAACTGAGATAATTTCTGTAAAATTATGAGCTGGTATTTTAGATAAATATTTTCATGGTCATTTTTAGGTAAATGTTTTCAAAACAGAAAATCTTTCCGTTTAATATTTGTTGCAATCTTGAATTACAACAATTTTTTTTCAAAAACCAGATTTCCTAATATTAATCCTCAACAGTAATCAAAAATATTAAATCTTTGAATTTTTTTTTATAATTTATTAAATGATGCACACCAACAAAAAATAAAAATCCCTTTTATGAACGAAAATTGCACGTATTTCGAAATTAAAAGATTAAAGAATTCTCAAATTTCAATTGAGCTTATAAAAAGAATAAAAAAAAACAAGGTAGTAAGACACATTTAAATTATTTACGATACTCCTAAAAGTACCAACCTAGATTTACAAGGTCGGTCGCGTTTGTATAGAATTGATTATGAAACACAGCATAAGTGTGTAATAAAAAAATATTTTCTAATTCGTCGCCAACTTGACAAGTAAGAGGTCCTTTTCACAGTTCTTCCTTCATTAGGGACAACTTTGTCTAAATATAAACCTTCATTCGGCGTCATAAAAAAAAAAATCTTTCGTGTTATTCAAGAGTAAACAAAAGGTTCCTTTAAAATTTAATTTTAAATAAGACTTTTTCTTTTACCTGCGATCTAGTTTCATTGGCATGTAGTACAGGAAGCCAAATTAAAAGAAGAAGGAAAAAAAGAAGAAAAAAAGACAAACGTTTTTTTTTTCGATGGAAAAAAACGGGTAATCATTCTTTTGCAACTGCAAACAGTCTTACTTTAACTGTAATTGTTTTATTTTTATCATACTACATCTCTTTGACGTTATTACCTTATTGATCACTTTCTCATTAACGCGTTGCGAGTAATTTTAAATGGGGCGATTTTGTGCCACACACGTTTTCTGGATGAAATGACATTTAGTGATAGCTAGATGCCATTGATCTAGCGATTTAGGGTAAACTAACCAGTGAAGGAACACTTAAGCTTCGCTTGCCTTTTAAAAAATCATATTAATTTCAAAATTCGTAATTTTAGTTAAATGACAGTGTCAACATATTTGTTATTAATTGCAAATTTTGTAAAAAAATTGTAGACCACTTACATAATATTGTTTTAAAGGTTTGGAGGTTCAAATAACAAGTTGTAAGAGGACCAAGTGAAGGAACAGCTCTTACCAATGAATGAACACCCAGTAAAGGAACACTTAATTTTGGTTATTTTTTAATGCTCCTTATGAATTTATAAGCCATACAAATATTTGAAAACAAGCCTATTCTTGAAATTATAACATATAAATGCTTGGAAAATGTTAACTTTTTTTGTAATCATGAATTGAAAATTAAAGTGTCAACATATTAACCCATACTGTTCATTCACTGGGAAATCTATGCCCAGTAAAGGAACATGCCTGTTCCCTCACTGGTTCGAAGTTGTTTTTCATATTTTTAACATACTTTTGATGTGGAACATCGCTAAAGGTACAAGAAAATTAAAGTTTATATTTTATTTTCATTAACTTAGAAAAAAACAGTAAAGGAACACTTGTTCCTTCACTGGTTTTTTATCGTTTGGTGATCCAGTGAATAAACACCCCCTTATCTCAGTACTTTATTATGCTATGATGCTTTAAAAAAATAAAACGTAACTTCAATAACTATATTTTGAATTCTCTTTTTCACAGTGAGAAAAATAAAACTATTACATGAAATTAATACCACTACAAACATATAAATACAAACACTCACCTTATAATTTTTTCAAAGAAACAAGGTGTTGCAGAGATAATAACAAATTCAAAAGTTTTTCCAGAGAAGTCTATTTGACCATGTAATCCAAAACATTGCTAGATGACTTCCTATTGTTTGGCAGTAAGCTATTGTTACCACTCAATCTAAAGAAAAACTTTCGAATTCTTATTTTTAATCAATATATATGAAATGTTCCGTCACTAGGTAGTGTTCCTTCACTGGTTGGTTTACCCTACTACATTCATTCTAGCGATATCTAGACTATCGCTGGTTATTTTATCTATTATTAAAGCGTTAGCTGGAATGCTGGCAATAGCTAAAGAAAGCATTCTAGCAGTAACTTTTTTCCTTTATTCTCGCGATAATTAGAGTATCGCTGGTTATTCTAGTTATTATACAAGTTATAGGTGGAATAGTGGCAATGGCTGAAGATAGCATTCTACCAATAGCTTTCTCCCAGCCGTGGTTACTCAGATGATAGAGCGTTCACCTTCCACTGAGATGAACCAGGTTTGAATCCTAGAGATGGCTGGTCGATACGAATTCTTCACACGGCTCGCACCGACCACTGTGTTGACGTAAAATATCCTCAGGGGCTGACGGATCAGAATCCACTTGCAGTCAGGCTAACCGTGAGAGGTTTCCGTGTTTTCCCCTCCATGTACCATAAAGATGGATTAGTTCCATCTAAAAGTCCTCCACGAAGGCAAATTTCTTCCAATAATAGATTTAGGAGTTCCCTTGTCTTCTGGATCGGGATCAAAATCACAAGGCTACGGAGTTGAATATTGGTAGTTGTAAACCCAACGGACCAAATTTGGGTCTGCTGTTCAACGACGGTTATGAAATAACTTTCTGCCTTTATTCTAGCGAAAACACAAATATAGGTGGTTATTCTAGCGATTATTCAAGTGATAACTTGAATGGTGGCAATAGAAAAAGGTAGCATTTTTGAAATAACTTTCTGCCTTTATACTAGTTTAGCGTAGCCACCTCGAATAGTGGTTGAAATAAAAGACACTCACAAGAGTGGACCTTACAAATTTATAAGCTTTTCACACCTTTATTTTAAATCTTAAGGGAATCAAAAGGAAAGTAAAGGCATTAACAAAGTTGCATTTACGCAAAATGAATTATAATTTTTAAAGCGAAATTAAAAAACGAAATGAATGGGAAAATTTTAAATTACCATATGTTTGAAGACTGTAGTATTATTCTTAATCGATAATGAATTGATTAAGTAAGATGATTATAAATTATTTATTATATGTTGGATGGCAACAGTCTGGATGAAAAATAGAACAGCTATGGTGAATAAATATTTGCTAACCTTCTGAATAAGTCTATCTTGTATTAAAGTGATAAAACAACACTTCAAGACCATGCTATAGAATTCTCTTTACTTACTTTCATCTTCTTAATTTTTTGATTTCCATTTCAATCAAATCTCTTTCTTAATTAAACAAATTCTCCACTAAAATTTTCTCTGACAAAACAAGGATCCTTTTTTCTTCCCTGTCCTTCAAACTTCGTCCTCCTCCTCAAAAGTTAAAACCAAATATTCTTAGATTAAGAGTAGAAATCAATTTAAGACTAAGGTATCTTAAGCCAATTTTAAATTAAAATAAGGGGGAGCTCAAAGATCCATTTACATTAAACCTCCATGGTCAAAAGTTATCCTTAACCCCGTAATTGGGATTTTTTTCGCAGTTGGTCAGGAAACGTAAATCATCTTTCTAAACTGAAGATCCAAAAACACGGTAGGACCAGAAATGCATTTTAACTTAACTATCTTTACTTTAAGTAAATAAAAAATGAGTTCAAACAAACAGTATAATTAAAATGAATATTAAATACATTAAATCAAGACATAAATTAAGTTACGATGTAATTAAAGATACTGTAACAGTATCTAGATCTAGAATGAAAATGTTAGTTTAAGAATTGTTTACAGTTTCAGAAATAGTATTATATTATGAAAAACAGCCGATTCTGAAATTACTAATGCGATTTGATTTACAGAATCGCCATTTGAATGAGCACTTTCGGCAGTCTAAGCTGAATTTTGTCTAAGCTCATTAATTTAGGCTCATATTTAGGTATTTGTATCGATAAAGTTAGTTAAAATTTAGATTTTCCCTGTATGTAACAATATTGCATTTTTGTTGTGTTTTTTTTTTCATGCCTTACTGATCCAAAAATATTTCAATTTGAATGTCCCCTTAGGTTATTTTTTTGTCACGATTTAATCGAAGATACTACTTATAATGCGTGCAATATTATTCA